CCCTTTGAACAAAAGGCTGGGTTTGTTTGTTTTAAAAGCCCTTGCTGGACCACCCTTATGCCTCACTTATTCCGATGTCTCATAGCGGTTCAGGCCTTCAGATGTTGAGGTCCATCATCAAGCAGCTCATATCAAATAGAGCAACCCCATTCCTTTCCCTCTTGTTTTGACCCACCACCCCCACCTCCACAGCTCTGTTAGCCAAGTGTGAGACTTGCGTTTCTGGCTGCACCGCCAGCTAATCTATATGCTAATGAGAAGATGATAATCAATGAGGTTCACGCATGGTTGGCCCCAATCAATAGCACATTGCACCAGCAAATGATTCAAATGGCTACATTTCATACAGCCAGACAGTTGGGTGGCGTGTTAATGTGGTGGGGCAGACCATAAGTATGCCATTATCCTCTGGTTTAATCTACCCCATTCCACATAAATGAATTCTGTTGTCGCTAAAGAGAGGTTTGAATTCAACTGCAAAGCTATCCCATTTCACTTTTGAGGGGATCGCAATTTTCTTCTCCTATTGTTTTGCATTTCATTTCCGTAACTGCTATAAATAGGTGGGCTGATGCTGTCCTGCTGTGACTTGGCTAGCCCCTCCATAGATTCTGGTTTATAGCATTAGTTGAGTTAGGGCTTCAAAAGTGCAGTCTTTGCAGGATTAGGGTCAATTTTGTTACCACTACCTCCTATAACGGGCAGTTACTGGGTAACGGATCACAATTCTTTGCATTTACTCTCTAGCCTCTGTGTCAGTCTCTCACAACACTGATGCTGATTACTGTCCTGTGAGTAAGTAAGTAATGGGTTTGATGTTCAGTCTGGCCTGTAAGTCACTGCTCCTGTCCTTTGCTGAATGTTATGTTAGAAAATTGGCCCAATCAGAGCTGCTGGCTACTGGTGTAACTGGTGCTTTCTGTAACTGGTTTAAAACCTATGCTGTAGACCTGTTTTCTTCAAATGGAAACAGAGCCCTTAGCTTTTGGCTATCCACAACCAGATTAAGCAAAATAAAGTGTTTGCCATAGCTGAGCTGTCATTTTAATAAAATACATTATTACCTTGAATTTGACTTGATATTTAGGTGATGATTATAGACTACCTGATGTTGGAGGGTCTGTGCATCCTTAATAAACAGTATTCAGGCAGCAGAAGAGGGGGAGGGGAGATCATTACAATCATCTTCATTAGAGAGGATCCTGTTGTCCAATCAGCATGCTGCTCTGCACGGGGATTCCATAGGCACCCCGTTGGCTGTCGCTAGGATACCACATAATCAGGAGGCAGGCCGTGGCCTGGTTGGTGGAGTGGGGTGTTGATGCTGGGACGACGAGCTCGCTTTGAGTCGGGGGGGTTAGACGAGAGGGGCTGGGGGGTTTGGATGCAGCACAAGAACACGCTTGCAAGCGCTCAGTCAGTCAGTCAGCCAACCAGCCAGCCACTCACTTAGGCAGACAAAGAAGAGCAGCATCCTGCAGGAGGACAGCACGCTCCCGGGGGATGGGGCATCATACCCCTGCATCGCGTTTGGGGGGTCGGAGGAGGTAGGAGCACCAGGGTTAGGGGGCTTTGTCTCAGCAGCCCCTACGCACACACACACACACAAACGCGCACAGACACATTTCTCTGTGGATCTCCTGGCTATTACAGCCATTATCACACATCAATCGATTTGTGCAGCTGACAAGAGCTTTCTTGTGGTATTTTTAATGCAGGTCGTCAAAGTTTTCCTATAAGCTGACTGAAGGATGGACACTGATGGAGGCTCCAGCACTTCCTTACTGTGATCTAAGCTCTGTAGAGACAGCCAGTCTGTCTGACAGTCTCTTAACAGTTCTTATCTTCCTGCAGGCTATGCAGAACCTCTAGACACAAATCTGACAGTCTGGTTTTGCGGTCTTGTAATGCCAGCATGAGTAGATCAATATGTTCTCTTATGAGGGGTGCAGAGAGCAGAAATTGTGTTGGTATGGTATTTAGCCGCTCTTTGCAATGAATTACAGGCTGCTGGCACTGCTTTGATGTGTTCTCCAACACATTGACTGTACCACTTTTCATGGGTACCAGGTTTTTCCCCAAAACCAACTCAAAGCCAGATTGTAGATGTGGAAGTGGGGTTAAGTATTGGAGTGGGAGGTGTTTTCCATTGCACCCCTTTACTGATGGGTGGGTGAGTCCTCACAGAAAGACAGGGACTGAATGCTTCATTATCAGAGGGGATTCCCTCCCCTCTCCTCTCATAAGAAAGCAATGGGAAGCAGACTTTGGGATGTAGGCTAATGACGGCATACATACATGCATACAGGCTCTGGCAGCGGCGTTGCTTTGTTTACAACCAGAAAGCCTGACTAGATTTCAGCTTTTTTACAGCCGTAATTATGTAGACATGACATTTTAAAATCACGACAAGCACTGTTTAATGCACAACACATGGTTCCTTTTGTTTTGAGGAATTTACAGTTGAGTTTTATATTTTTTCTAAATTGGGTTTCTCTAAATTGAGTCTTCACTTCGAACTGGATTTATCATTTCATAGACATTGTTGCTTACAGAATAGTGTTGGCGAGATTTGTTCTGTTGCACATGTCAAAGCATTTTTTAATTGAAACATGTAGGCTATATAAATAACATTTCAAGGAATAGCGTGTGGTTTAGTTAGATTGCAGTTTGTTTCCAGTTCTGCTTTGTAGCACAAGTGGGCTATAAGATGTGCTTTGGCCCCTAATCCGTTCAAAAGAATAATAAGGAGAAGGAGGAGGAGGAAATAGCTTAAGAATTGCGGCATGGCGGCAGCATTGCTCCTTTATTTAATTGCTTCCATCACACCCTCTTTCCAATCCAACCCATTTAAAATCCTCAACCTGCTACCCCCCCATAACTTAATGCGCACACCTCTCACCTCAAGGCTAGAAATTCCATCCTCCCTGTTTTGGCGTCTCTTTTCAGCTCTGTTACATCAGCTGTCATTCTGTTTGAACCACCCCTCCCACACACACACATTAATCTCACCCCTTCCTCTACACCTCTAGCATCTGAAGTTCTTGTTCTGTTTAAGCTCTGCTTCATCAAAGACTTCTGAACTTTCTTTAAATTCTTTAAACAAAAAAAAAAATTTAATCTGTTTGTTTTTGCCTTCACCGAGGAAGGACCCTTTCTGTCCTACCATCTTATTCGCATCTTATCAGCTGTCATGCCTCTTCCATGTCTTGTGCCTGGAGAGCTCTGAACCTTTTCCTCCTGTGCTAATGGATAGCAGGGCATCAAGGGACCAACCTTTTAAAAGGCTTCGTCGTTTTCTCCTCCATGCTCATGATTGACAAGAATAACATGCTTCAGAAGTCTGAGATACTGGATGTCATAAATGGTTTTGACATAGTACTTTTGGACTCTATGAGAGTTTGAGCAATAATGGTTCCTGTACTTATATTAAAGTCAGTGATGTGGTGTTTATATCATGGTTTGAGGCATTTTGATGGGAGTGCGTGCGAGGGAGTTTATTCATAATTGGAACAGCCTCTGCAGCCTTCCCAATTTAATTTACACCAAATGCCTGTGTTGTTGTTTATGTGAAATGCTCCCGTATTAGCCCGTCACCCTGCCCCTTATGCAAAATTTACTGCATTTGCTTCCCAAATAACATTGTTGTGTGCTTCTCTAACCAGCTTCGGTCATGCCTCACTTACTTTTCATTTTGGAAAATGAAGTCAGATGCATTATATAGTGTTTCAGAAACAGAGCTCCTTAGAGCAATGCAGTGGTAATTTATTTAACCAGGCTTCTAAATTTAGATTTAATATTTCTGCTGTGAATTTGTGATTTTGTATGAAAATAAACAGAAAAGAATAATTCATTTCCCAGCTGACACTCATGTCCTACTGCAGATTTGTGTAATGCAGACCTTTTTACTTTGCTGTAGCATTTATAGCAGTGAGTCCATCTGCAGTCAGATGGCAGATCTTACTCATGGAATAGCAAAGTGTCATGGCCAGCTAGGCTTATCCTTGTAGGCAGTATTCTGATGTGTATTTCAGGTCTGGTACCGAATTCCCTTTTAATTTTAGAGTAACTGTAGTTTATAACTGCATAGTGGTTTGTAGTCAGGTTTATTAAATAATCAGTACCCACAAGTATGGTGATTTTAAATAACTAATTAGGAACACAAAAGCAACAGATTCTATTTTGGAAGTAAAAAGCAAAATGGGAATTACAATTACATAACCCTGCAATAACAACATTCAGATAGCAATCATGCTATAACCTACAGCTTGACTGGTCTCTAAGCCTGAACAAGCTAATTTATTGATTATTAAAATAGTTACTAATATTTTTTACTCTGTTAATTGACATTTTATCAAACAATCTATTAGTTTTGTGAATCAAGGCTTTTCAGTATTTATATGTATTCCTAAAAAAGGTCACATTGTACTCAACATATTATTCTTATTAAGCTCAGAAATTAACTTTTTGTGGAACATTGGAAGTTTTTAGCCTAATTTTCATTTTGGTTAGAGAAACGTTTGGCAGGCTATAGAGGACTGTATTTGTGTATTCAAAATTGCAGCATCAGATTGAAATGATTAAATGTTTAGTTCTATAGACAAAAGATTAATTGCTTTTGAAAATTGATTCATAATTTCATTAAATTTTTTAAAGCAAAAATGCCACACACTCTGGTTACAGCGTTACTGTCATGTATGATAATAAACTGAATGCCTTTGGGTAATAATCGTTAGTTGCAGCCTTAAATGTTTCATCTCTGACATGCTTACAATTACTTTCGCTTCCCTTATGATTTCTTTATCAGATTTATCAATTTCCTCGTCATCTTCTATGTGTTGCTGGTCTACCATTTCTTGAAGTTGAGCTGCTCATTAGCTAGTTGTTTAGATTCTGCCGCAGGTATTTGTTTGTCCATTTTATTTTTTTATCTGAAGGGGTATGGGGATATTGAAGATAAAGAGTGTGGCATTTTTTTCTACTCCTTTTTCCCTCTTCAGGTTCAGGAGAGCCATTCAGAAGAGCCGGGGGTCAAAGGTGAGAAGAGCAGAGGGCACCATGGAGAGTGAACTGGAGGCCCCTGCCTCCATGGCCAACAGTACCGGGACCACCGCCCCCTCCACCTCCAGCACCACAGCTGCCAGCAGTAGTAGTACCTCTAACACTACTACTACTACTACTACTACTACTTCTTCTAACACTTCCACTAGTAATAGTAATAGTAGTAGTAGTAGTAGCAGTACTACCAGTATTAGTACAACAACAGGCAGACAGGCAGTGCCTCAGATATCGGTTTACAGCGGGATACCTGACCGACAAACAGTGCAGGTGAGTTCCTTGGTGTTGTGATGAAATTGTTTACAGCTTGTTGTTAAGTTGGGGTATTGGGTGTGACACGTGCATACACACTCAGACTACATTCACATGTTCAAATGCTCAAAAGTTACTCTACTGCCCTCTATTGATGTATATAAATCCATACTGGCTTCTTATGTGCTCCTAAAGTTATGTTTGATTCATTATGTTTGATGATTCATTTTCTAAGTAAGATATAAGATGCATTTGTCTTCCTGATTAATATCCGACGAAGGAAACTCAAATGGTCATTTCAGAGGATGTGTCCAAGTTGAAGGAAGGAATGCCGTCTGTGCTTTAGTGCTCTTGACCCTGTGACACCGGGATAAGCCTCTACACAGGCTTACCCTGTCCCTGAATAAGGTCCACGCAACCTTTAGTGCTGATGCCTTGACAGCGGGGTTTTTGTTATATTCTGCCCTCCTTTTCTTGTACTCAGCCTGCTGACCGTTAAAAGGGAAACACTATTGTCACTTAGTAGCCCTCTGGGCATAAAGGACTGCTACTCATTTACAGCCAGTGAGAGGTGTGCAGCGCATCTCTGCTAATTTTTTTCCAATAGGTGTGGGTCACGATGGTTCTGTGACACTATGGACCACAGGTCAACATCCTCTCTGGTTACTTGGCAACCAGGCAGAGGGCCCTTTCAGAGGGGACTGAACTTGAGTGAACCAGCGAATGTCAGAACGAACACATCTTCTGCACCGCCTGGAGCGAATTTGCATCGTTTGCGTTGACTTTGTATGTAATCAAGCACTAATATGGAGGAGACAAGCCTGGGCTGTGTTAGGTGAGGGATTTCCCACAAGGTAAACGTAAACATTACCGCAGCTGAGCGGCAGCAGGGACCTGGAGTTTTTTAACAGTAGAAATACAGCAGCGTATGCTGTAATGTTATATGGATCGGAAGTGCCCAATACTTGCAGTTGTGTTCATATCTTTCTTTTTCTTAAGTTGAAAGGTGATCCAAATAAAATTTGACTGCTTTTGTGGCCTCTCTACGCGGGAGTCGTGGTGTAAGCTGCTATGTTGGTCTGTTTTGCCCTCCCAAGTCACCACACGTCACCTGACTGAAAACTATGAATATGAACATCCTACACTCATTAGATCGGTTAGATTCTCCACAATTCAATCGTTCAGTTCAAAGTCCCAAAGTCTAATTCTTTTAGATTTACCAGTGTAACCGGCATGGTACAAGAGATGAAAAGAAAAAGTAAAGTTCCGACTCCTGTTACCTTTGAAGCGCTTGTAAAGTCTGCTCATTCAGTATTTGATATTATTGGATAATTTTTATACAAGCAATATTCTGTTTAAAATAAATAAACTGTTTCATAGTAGCCTATATTCATAGCCTATTTCTGTTTTGCACAAGAGGAATTAAAGGCCTGTCCAATATGGACATCTGTCCCAAATATAGGCAGTGTCAATTCAGTGATATGAATTGACCCTGCCCATATTTGATGATTTAGCAAATAAAAGCCCTGGCTATTAATCAAAGTTTTTTATGCGATGTTTGTTGGGGAATGAGAGGAGGGTCACACACACAAACAAACACAAAATGGTCTTTTGACAGCTGTATTGATATTTCATGCTTGTTTTGGGACTCAATCTCGGACTTTTTTTTTTTTACAAATTTTATATATGCAATCTCTTTCTTTCTTTTTTTTTCACTCAGCCAGCTCTGTCTTTCTATATATTTGCAGGTGTTCCAGCAGGCATTACACAGACAGCCTAACACAGCAGCACAGTACCTGCAGCAGATGTACGCTGCTCAGCAGCAGCATCTGATGTTGCAAACTGCAGCTCTCCAGCAGCAGCACAACCTGAGCACCGCTCAGCTCCAGAGCCTGGCTGCTGTACAGCAGGTCAGCAAATGGTCATCACATGAAAGCGTGTAAAGTTGATGCTGTTATTGTTGACCTCCTGCAAGACATGTTTCTCTCCAACTCCCTCCTTCTCTTTCTCTTGTATTGTGACAGGCCAGTATTGCAGCTGGCCGGCAAAGCTCTTCACAGAATGGCACTTCAGCCCAGCAAACAGGATCTACTCAGGCTACAGTAAGTATGAGTTGTGGTCCTGTCTCATATAGAGCCTTTAAGTTGTCTTTGTCCATTAGCTTATCATGAACTAAGTTGGTTTTAGCTCCAAGATGCTTTGGGGTAGCTGGTTGCCACACTAGCAGCTCTGTGAGCTGTAAAACCTTTTTTGCTTTTTAAGAGGTTGGAATGCCTTTTAAAGTATATAATGTATAGTTCTGGATTTGACATGTTGTTTAAAGGAAAATGGTGTATTGCATATCAATAGAGTAAGGGAAGTTTTTAACCTCATTATCCTGTTCATCTTTTCCCCCTAGATCAACCTGACCACCTCCCCAGCGGCAGCCCAGCTGATCAGCCGGGCCCAGAGCATTAGTTCCACCCCCACCAGTATATCTCAGCAGGCTGTTTTGCTGGGCAGCCCATCTAGCCCCACTTTCACAGCCAGCCAGGCACAGATGTACCTGCGTGCACAGATGGTAAGTGTGTTGGGGAATGAGAGGAGGGTAGACAGACAGAGCATAGCCACTGTCCACATAGACGCATGAGTTTGCATACATGCATCAACAAATGCACACTCCCACATACTGCTTGAATAAATAAACATACTTCAGCTCATGTTTTTAACTTTGGAGGCTAAATATTTTGGGATTTGTGTGTGTGCCACAGTAAATGGTGTGCTTCATTCTCATATTGCCACCAGAGGAGGTTGTTAGGATAATCTGTGTGGCCCCATAGGGCCCATTACAAACACAGAAGGGAATATCTTGAATGTGCACGAATGCTGTGAAAACTTTTTTTTGAGGTCACAGGTTTTCTCTTGGCTGTATCTTAAGTTCTAATTGTTTTTAAAACCGAGTTGCTAAAGGAATACTTATTGGCCTTTTTTGGTGCAGCTGGTTGTAGGTAAGTTGTCGGTTTCAAATTCAGTATTGCATTAGCAGTGGTTTAAATAAAATACTTTTTTTTTTTTTGTTTAAACATCACAGTTACAAGACATGCACAACTTACACAAAACACACATGAAGCAGGTCAACAAGCATGAGGTAGGTTAAAAAAATTTAAATAAATAAAATCCACTTGCCAAATAGGGTTGGGCCGATAGACGATGCCATTGTCCATCGCCAATGTTGAGCCAGCATGTGATTTGTGACGTCTGCGTGGCTTCATGCGATCCCCTCTGTCTTGTGTCAAGCATCGTTGCTTTGCGCATTATCCTGTGGGTGGGATCGTGGCCTTATTTTTCTTCCATAAAAACATAGGGTTTATAAAGTGACCGCTGACTTCTGTAGCTGTCCTTATTACTGCAGAGCTGAAGGAGTTCGACTAAAGAGATTTTGTTGTCTAGTAGACCAGTAGTTACGTCTAATTTTGAGCAGTTTGTGAAACATCCTTCTCTCCACAACCAACTCAAGAGGCTCCAGGGCAGTCCCCAGCATGGAGCCAGTCCTCTATTCCTCAGCTTGTTCAGCTTCTTAAGCCTAGCTCACACTACACTATTTTTAGCCTGATTCGCCGCTTGGTGAGCTCAGCGACAGTCAGGCTATGATTGGGAGTAAATCAGCAGGCGGTCGGCGTTCGCCAGTCGTTACATGTGAACTACTCAGCAACGCGTCAAAACGGCTCCCTGACATGTCATCACCGACATCTGCCAGATATCTAGCATGCCAAATATCTGGAGGAGTCGGCCGACTCGACATCCACATCCAGCCAATGAGAGCAGGCAGCTGGCAGAGCAGGCAGCTACCTTTAAACTGCAAAACACTTTTTACTCCCCTCCAGCTCTCTCTGTAGTTCAGACAGTCCCTGCTACCTGCGTGTGCTAATCCATTCTTTCACCCAAATTCTTTGTCTTTATAATTGCTATCTTTATAATAACAAACAGCTTTTTCGTGTGTAGGATCGCGTCATTTCCCGTTTGACATTTCACATGTGTTTTCTTGACAAAAAGTGGTTTGGAGACCAGCGTCAGGTGACAGAGCTGCTGTCAGCTCGTGTAGTCTGTGACCCCCTGTCACGTAGTGTGAATGCCACAAGTACTTCAAGACTCCCGTCACAAGACCACAAGTTGTGTAATGTGAACGGCACGGCTGTTGGCTGACGCTGAAAGTCATGTAATCTGCACGAGCCTTTAGTGACACTGGCTCTGATGCTGCTTCCCCAGTAGATGGCTGCCCCACACCCCACAATGGCAGGGCAGAGTTGTACTATAAGTCTGAGGTGTATAGTATACTTTCTCCTGGCTCAGAGTGAGGTTGTTGTGCAGTTGGCACACAAGTTGTTCCTGCCACCTCATTATGACCAAGTACAAAGCATTGTCAGATTTGTGTAATGCTTCTGGCAGATAGCAGAACACATTTGTCAGTGTAGATTGCCATGTTTTTTTTATTTGTGGTATAGTCCCCTGGTGTGAGTGCATCTGATTCATATTGTCCTTTTAATTGTTTTGTTTTTTTCCACCCATACACCAATTAAAGGTTCAGAACAGTTAAAGTATATAATTACATCATCACTGTTGTATTAATATGTTTTTAAGATACCTTTTAAGATGCAAATTCAAAAAGAGAAATGTACTTTTCATGGCAAGAATAGGACCAAAATCATTGCACATTCTGTCCAAAGCACATCACCACCTTTTTAGCTTGGAATAATTTAAACTTTCTGACGGAACGGGTTCTTCTTTGTGGTCTGTGTGTGCATGTGTGATGCTTTCTAGGCCCAGCAGAGTAACCTGGTGCAGGTAGCCAGGAGCCTGGGCCGGGCTGTTCCTCTGTCCCCGCAGCTCATCTTCACCCCAACGGCCACTGTAACGGCTGTCCAGTCAGAGAGCTCCTCCTCACAAGTAGGTTCATTGGAATAAAGTGCCACTATATGACAAATACAATTACAAACTTATTAAACGTCAACGTCCTGGACTTGATCTCTTTGGTAAATACGAAAACATTTGGAAGTTGTTGGTGACTGGAAATCCTGCACTAGAACATGTGAAATGAACGTTTAAAAACTATTTGTACTTACTGTACTGTTGTGATATTATATTATAATAGGCTTGGCACTGAATGCATTGGGTAATGCAGTCCATCTTCATTAATTTTGTAATCAACACAGTTCTGAAAAACGAATCCACTCCTTTTACCCATTTTGTGAAGTTGTTTGTATCAATAATCTCCCACCATTCTGTTTCTCTAAGAATCAGGTCCAGAATCTGGCCATCCGCAGCCAGCAGGTGGCGACCACGTCCTCTTCTCAGACTCAGACCCTGCAGGCTCTCAGTCTAAAGCAGAACCCTGTGCCTATCCAGCCCGCCTCACTAATTAAGAATACCAGCCAAGGAGCGCAGGTCTCCACAGGAGGGAAGGCCTGCTCCTCTGACAGTTTGTCTGAAGGAGGGAGGAAGGGGGACAGTGCAGCGGTCACAGAAGTTCGAGCTATAAACATGAGCCGCAACGTCACAGCTGTCAGTGCTCAGCCCCTGATCACTCCAGGTAAGTGGAGTCTGCAAACCCGCAGCCTGAAAAGTTCAAATAATGTTTAAGTCTGAATGTGTGCACACATCTTACCCATGAAACTGTGCTCACATTAGGGGCAATTAAAAGAAGACCCCAGACCCCTAAGAAAATAATACACAAAGAAGTTAAGTGTTTGATCTATTTAGTGAAAATAATGGCCATTAGCAATACGGTTATTGGCCATATTGCTAATTTCCAATATTTTCAGTACATCTGTCAAGGAATCTATTTATTATTTTGTTAATGGATAAATTTTCTATCTTTTTGAATGTCAAACATTCCCCACTTCCAGCTTCTCAAATGTGAGGATTTGCTGCTTATGTGATAATTAAGTGAAAGTTTTTGTCATAGGACTGTTGATCAAACAAAACAAGCTATTTAAAGTCATCACTTTGGCCCCCAGGAAATTGAAATAATGTTCTAATTTTGTAGACCAGTCAGTTAATGTATAATAATAATCATTAGTTGTAGCCCAAATGGGTATTAAAAATAAATACTCACCAAATTTGCATTAGCATTGGATGCTTTGTTAGATACTCACTTACATATTCTTACACATTTATTGATCAGATATTCCAGAGCTTAGTTGATCAATCAGGAGATGATCAGATCAGCTTTGATTTGGATAAAGAATATTGAATCAGTGCATCCTAGTATTTTTAGTCACGCTAGCAGCATCGATCTTCCCCTGGTGGCAAGCTGCAATATAGTATAAACCCTGCCCCCTCCGGATGGGACATGGGTAACTCATATCAAAGTACAGAACAAATGAACTTTTCCCAAAGATGCTTTCTGTCATTTTAGGTGGTTCTTATTACACTGATGTATGTTCAAGTTTTTATTTCTCTGATACGTCTGGTTTTGATTAGTTATTTGATGCTATAAAAAGGGGGTTTCACATCATGATAGACACCTGAGCCCTGCTTGAGACTGAGTCAGCGGGGTGTATGGGCGGGACCTCGATACTGCAACTCCAACCCAAAGCACTACTTCGCAGACTCTAGCTCCAAATCACATCACCAGAATAAGATGGCAGCTCCTGTATCCTGGATATTTTGGCTGCATTTTTGTACAGTGGGGGGAAGTGGAGACATGTCTTCCTCCTTTATATACAGTCTATGGTTCAGCCTCACAGAGGTGCTAGCATGGCCTTGGATTCTTAGTCTGGTTTTCATCCACACTGGGTACAGAGCAAATGATATACAGTCCCCTCCAAAAGTATTGGAACAGTAAGGCAAATTCCTTTTTTGTTGTTGTTCACTGAAGACATTTGGGTTTAAGATCAAAAGATGAGTATGAGACAATAGATCAGAATTTTCAGCTCTCATTTCCTGGTATTCACGTCTAGATGTGTTAAACAACTCAGGACATATCACCGTTTGTATTAGACCACAGTATTCTTAGGTGAGCAAAAGTATTGGAACAAATAAACTTAAAGTAAATAATATTTAATAATTAGTGGCATAACCCTTGCTTGCAATAACTGCCTCAAGCCTGCGACCCATCGACATCACCAAACTGTTGCATTCTTCATTTGTGATGCTATTCCAGGCTTTTACCGCAGCTTCTTTCAGTTCTTGTTTGTTTCGGGGTGTTTCTCCCTGCAGTCTCCTCTTAAGGAGGTGAAATGCAGCTCTGTTGGGTTAAGGTCAGGTGATTGACTTGGCCAGTCTAAAACCTTCCACTTTTTCCCACTGATGAAGTCCTGTGTTTTGTTGGCAGTGTGCTTTGGGTCATTGTCCTGCTGCATGATAAACTTCCTCCTGATTAGTTTTAATGCATTTCTCCGTAAATTGGCAGACAAAAGGTTTCTGTACACTTCTGATTTAATTCTGCTGCTACCATCATCAGTTACATCATCAATAAATATTAATGAGCCTGTTCCAGAAGCAGCCATGCACGCCCAAGCCATGACATTACCTCCACCATGCTTCACCGATGAGCTTGCATGCTTCGGATCATAAGCAGTTCCTTTCTTTCTCCACACTTTGGCCTTTCCATCACTTTGGTAGAGATTAATCTCGGTCTCATCAGTCCATAAGATTGTGATCCAGAACTTTTGCGGCTCATCTCTGTACTTATTTGCAAATTTCAATCTGGCCTTACTGCTGATGAGTGGTTTGCATCTTGTGGTGTGGCATCTATATTTCAGCTCTCTGACTCTTCTTCGAACAGTGGATTGTGATACCTTCACCCCTACACTGTGGAGGTCGTTGGTGATGTCACTTAATGATGTTTTTGGGGTTTTCTTCACTGCTCTCACGATATTTCCGTCATCAACTACTGTTATTTTCCTTGGCCGACCTGTTTGACGTCTGTTGCTCAGAACAATTTTCTGCTTAATTGTTCTTTTTTGTAACATGCTTATTTCAGACCTTTAAAATAGATTTGGGATTAAGCTGCCATAAATATAAAAATGTACTCTTGTGTTTATTGTAAGATAAGATGAGAAAAGAGTTTTTACACTATGCACTTATAATATCTTTCTCTGGGCTGTGAGTGTGACATGTCAGGGCCTGCATCACAAACTCAATCAGTCACTAAAGGTGTGAAGCCAGCCGTGTTGAAGACAGTGTGTTGGGCTGTGTCTGGAACAGTCAGCCAGCTTTGTAAATCAGAAGCTGTGAAAGACACACTGCCACGCAAGGGCCATTCTAAACCACTTATTGTGTAATTGCAAGTCAGCAGCTGTTATGCTGTTGTTTTTAGTGTGAATGGTTGTGAATATGCCAACTTTAAAAGCTGATTAAATCAAATAAGTCCAGCTTGTTTGCAGGATAGGCCCCTTCAGATGCATTAACTAATTTTCAAGAGGGTCCTAATAATCAGATTTCACAAAATAGTTTATTTGGGAGAGAACCTAAAAATATGTGTGCATTTACCATATGCATGCATATCTGCTGGGAGGGGTAACTGTGTGTTAATGTCTGTACATGACTGTAAACCATATATTTTCTGCAGTACACTGTATTAATGGACGGTGTTTTCATCTGCCTCTTCAGAGTGTGTGTGTGTGTGTGTGTGTGTGTGTGAAAAGGGAGGAGGGGAGTAGGGATTATCTGAGCGTGTCTGTGCACAACTGTGTCTTGCTTTGTTGCAGTAATAGATTCACATAAAATGAAAGGGAGGATGGAAGCTGAAAATCTGGCTGCGTGCTGTCTGGAAAAAAATTAACATGGGTTGCCATGGCAGCAGGCCGTTAGGGACAGGTGTACACATGAGATGCTGGGGAGTTAATACACTGTGGATCAAGTGAAGGAGAGGCTGCATGGCTGGCTACTGAGATTCAGATTAGGTTAAAAGATTGGCTTCAACTTGGCTGTGACTTGGTCATTACGCACTTTGGATTTCCAACATAAAATCAGAGAAACCTTTTTGTACAGACATGCCATGGTCTCTTGTAAACCCAACATTTCACCCAACTACTTTCATGATTTGATGTTTAGCTTTAATTATCTTTAATGAGTTACTGTAGATAAAATTAGGCCCCTATGTCTAATTAGTCACAATTGTTAGTGTTGCTAAAATGTAGAAAATGACTTAATTGTTATATTTGAAAAGTAGTGTTGAGTACTTTATATCAGGAAAAGCATTTAGTTATAGTACTATTAGTGTGCTACATTACTTTTGCTTTCTACCCTAAATGGGTTGTGCAAGACTTTAATTTATTGGGTTAATTGTAGAATAAACCTGCAATACCAGAGTAATGGCAGTTTTTTCAACTTTTCCGATGTCCTTTAGCTGCCATTATACAAAGGCAGGAGTGAAATCTTACAGATATAATTTTCCACTCTATTTGCTGTTGACTTTGTTTTTTATTGCAGTAGCAAACAGTTCTACAAAGAGATGACTATACCCGGTTGGTTTCCAATTTCTCGTCACCTATGCCCCTACATATACAGACCTATGCATCTAATGACACAAAGTGTCTGAAATACTAATGCAAAATATGTATAACAAAATATTACATGCCAACAATAAATGGCTCCTACAACTAGAATAAGTAGTCTAAATAATGATAAATATCTCACTTTCTGAGTCATTTACCAATTTTTACTACTAATGATTAACCATAAGTAACCATAATTATTGAAAGAACAACAAAAATGGAAGAGGTGTGGTTAATCGCATTTGCTATTTTTGGTCATCACTTTTCATCTTGCTTTCCAAAAGATGGCAGATCATTTTATAGCAACATCTCTCTTACTTTGAACATTACACACATTTAGAGTCACTTTCCCTTGAACAGGAGTTTGGCCGTCTGGCTTGTTGCAGTAAATGTTTGTCATCACCTCCTCTTGGCAGGAAAGAGCCAGCACCTTACTATTAAAAACCACAGCAGGGTACCCCCCAAAAGCACCATGCTCCCAGATTAAAAGAGCAGATCTGCACACAAAGGCTATGTTTTGGCATATTTCATGTAGCTGCCAGTATTTATCAGTTGCCAGTTTCACTTCAAAATCTTGGAAAGAAATCAATTACAAAGGAGCCACTTAAAACACTGACTTCAACTTTATGCAAAACAACAACAAATATTAATTCCCCTACTTTTTTTGTCTGTGTACAAAAACTGACATTAAACATGTAACTTAATCTCCTTTTTGTCTTTATCTGAAAATATAGCTTCACAATTTGTTTCCTTCACAATTTGCTAAAATACTAAGGTGTGTGATTTGGTCTTCTACCTGAGATCCCACCATTGTGTGTTCATGAGACAGGCAGTTGTTGTTGGAACAGTCTTTAATCCATTTAGGAACTGGATTCATTTAGCTGCTGTAATCTTGGTGCTAATGCCTACTTGATAAAGTATCACTTGATTTTTTTTTTTGTGTGTGTGAAAAGATGACGTAAGGCCTGCTCTTGCTCTGTTTTATGTTGGAATGTGTTTTGTGAAAGTAAAACAAAGCGGCAGACAGTGAGAATGTGGAAACTCAGGGATTTTCCAGGGCCTGGTGCTACAAACTCATCAGGAACATCCACTGTCCTCAGACTTGGGACATTGTGCAACAACACAGAGTAAGAGGTTTACTCACATTCATAAACGTAGAGGGAGTGGATTGCATGCTTGCATCTGTGTCTATTTGTGTGTGGGCGTGTGGGCCTGAGTCATTTCAGTCCTTTATCCCAAGACCTTGAGGGGGAATAGCATTTAAATGAATTCCCCTGTATTCCTATTCTTCCTCTCTGTTCTTCATTAGGGGCTTGAGAAAGTTGTCAGGATTCAAGGAGAGGGCTGCTTGTATCCGGTGTGCACTAATTCAGAAATCCCCCTCCTTCGCTCAGACCAGGGCTGGGAATCTTTTGCTCCCTCATGATTCAGTGAGATTTTGATCAAAGTTGCTACTGTTCAATTACAAAATACTTCTTGATGCCTTTTGACTATTCTGTGTAAGTTTTTCATAGTTGTTTGTTATTTCATGACCACATTTACAACTGCATAATATTTTGTACCTTTTGTTGTAATGTGTGTTTCATTGAGCAAAGAGCTAAGTTTTCAGTGACAGAATGAGTGCAGATCCTTTCCAGGTCAGAACGTTTTTTAATGCCCTATTGTCACAGTAGTGTCACAGTCATGTGTTTTTTGTTGTTGTTTGGTTGTTAAACAGAGAAGGAAAGAAACCCAAACGCAACTAAGTTGACTTGACAGAATAGTGAGAGAGTCCTTTTGTTTAAACCTTGGTTGACAATAAATTATTGCCCTTTAGACAGAAAAAAAATCAAACTACTTCAGGGATGACTTTATACGCTAACCTAAATAAATTTAAACTAATGTCGCGCTTTGGGCCGTCAGTATTACAGTTGGCAGCGCGTAAGAGGATGCCAGACTGGCCTTCCAACATCCAGCTCAAAAGAAGTGATGCTGCATGAGACTTGTTGGTCTCACGGCGGTCCAGGTAGCCGAGCATTCTTTCTTGTCACTGTTTTGTCACTTCCCTATCTTTCAATCATATCAAATGGTTTTCATTCGCTGATTGATGTGGACATAGATCTGTTGATTTGTCTGCTCAGCAGCTGTCATGATGATGCCTTTAGGAGGACTATTGACCTTTTTGAAATTGTAGTTTGATTAAACGGTCCCACATCAAGGTCCACTTACTATGGTTTTAGCCATGCCAGTTGGAGTGGCTCTAGGAATGATTGTGTTCATGGTGCCCAGAAGATGAATCCTACTGACTTTCGTGGTCCTTTTCTTTTTTGCCACCATGAAGTTGAAATGTTTTTATGGGATGGGAAAACAACTATGGGATTGTCGTGAAATTTGGTATACACATTTGTTTTCCCCACAGGATTATTTGACTAAAGACCCACAAAACTGACATTCACACCAGTCTCAGCGGTGCTTAGTGCAAATAGTGAACATGGGTCAACATGTTCACACTGTCTTTGTGAGTATGTTTCCAAGCTGGTGTTAGCATTTAGCTCAAAGCACCACTGTGCCTAAATGCAACTTCACAGAGTCCAAAGTGAAGTCTTCAAATGTCTTGTTTTCTATGACCAAAAGTCAAAAACCTAACAGAGAGAAGAGAAGAAGAACTAGAGAAACCGCAAATTCTTCCATTTGAGAAGCTGGGACCCGATAATGCTGAAACTCAATTATCATTTTGTATAATGTTATTAGTTCTCTTCGTCTTTAACATTGTAGTTACTCCTTTGAACTGTACATACTCAAACAAAATTCAGAAGGAGTTTTGTGCCTTAATGCTGAATTTTTCAAGAGAAAATCATGATAGATCTAATAATCGATTATTTTTGCCACCCCTGGGTGTAGCTGCTGAACTGATGAATGTTATTATCCCCTGAAGTGTCTGTTTAAATAGTTTTCAGGCGTGAACCATCTTACAGACTAACCTCTTTGATTATCATGCTGCTGGCCGTATCCACCCATCTAACGCTCCTATCCTAATATAAAAGGAAAGCCTTTTCTGTATGCCATAGCTAACCAGATTTTCTCTTGGTGGGCTCTACTGTGTGTCACCATGTGAAAAAGAAAACACTTTTCAGCAGATCCTGTACCATTAAAGGGACTCTGCTGGATAGAAACATCTATATATTCCACAGCAGGGTACAGACTGCGGTTAGTGCCTCACAGGGAAACTTCGAAACCAGATGGAGCCTATCCCACACAAAACACAGAACAGGAGGAGGAGGAAAAGGGTGGGGGCGAGGGGGATTTGAGACAAATGCTGATGTACTTGGCAGTTTTCCATGCTTGGAGTTATTAGGGGGTTTATTAACATCACCAAACGCACTACCATGTTCACATGGCTCATGCAGCAGAAACTAATGTATTTCTGTGGTGCATGAGGAGCTCTCTTAAATTCTTGTTTGGGTTTCAGTAATATAAATTAGTCAATTAGTTCTTATTGTTTCCTGGTAGTTGTTAGAGATCAAGGAGGCAGCATAGGGGCTTGAACCTGCTGACTCAACTTTAAATCTATAATGAGTGTCATGGACAGTTGGCTCTGCATGTTTGTTCTTGATGCATTTCTAATATTAGACTAGCCTCAGGCTACTTCCGCCAAACACTCTCCCACTCACACACGATCCCACAAAACAAGATTGATGTGCTGTGTCTTGGGCTTCGGGGCAAGTTATGAGCTCAGGATGTCTCTTTACCCACAACAGCACTGACAGGTGGTGACAGGCCATTTTGAAACAATTGTGAGTAATAGTCAGACCAAAACTGCCACAGCGGGCCTCTCTATGCACCTTTCACCAAGCTCTGAATATTACATCCTGTCAACAAGGGGAACACAGGTGAAGGGCGTGCTATACAACAAGCTCTTTTGTGCAGACGTCTACATTTTTTAGTGATACACTGAGTTTGGACAGTTGTGAGCACACGTGAAATAAATGCCGCTCATAGTTTGTAACAAGTTTCACTCTGAAGATATTTATATTGAATTTCCTTTATAAAAGAGAATGTTTGACAAGCGTGTCATGCGATGTGTAATGTGTAATCTTTGTTTATCACTACTGGAACAATTTTCTCACTAATTAATCTGAGTATAATTTCATTGCTGAACAAGTCGTCCACAGCAAATTACTTATTTACTTATATTAATCAAACAACAGTCCGATGATATAAAATGCAAAAAACAGTATACTCGTGCTCCTTCAAGAGCATATTTTGTATTTTGGCTTGATTTTAAATGGCTTTAATGAGGAATTGATTGCCACAATTATTGCGGATGGATTTTCTGCTAAACGACAAATCAAACTATTGACTTTATTAAGCAGTATTGCACTTTACCAATCGTATCTCCAGAAGTCACTTGTTGATTATTGAATTTAGCACAAATATAATATGTTTGGATTTTTTCAAATCGCTTTATAGTCAGTATGGACAGGGAGAATGATTAATTACAGCAACTAATAACTCTTTCAATGTACTGTATATGTGGCATGTGAGACTAGGCTAGATTTGAAAAAAAATATCCAATTTCTATTGCTAAAGTAAAATCACCTTTTAGGTTTTTATGTAACAATAAAAGCAGTAAATGCTAATCTATGTCAATCTTACAGTAAACTTCAAATTTAAAAAAGCACTGAATACCACATAAATGTGCGGAGAACTGAATTTAGGACACAGGAGAAGTGTCTGTGGGTGGTGAACGCAGCAGTTGGCTCAATTAAAAAATTTTAAAAATATATATAAATGTCGGTGTTGTTCTCGTTCCAGCATACACACAGATTCAGCCCCACTCCCTGGTTCAGCAGCACAAGCAGCAGCAGTTTGTGGTTCATCAGAGTCAAAGTACCCAGAGGAACGCGGGCCAGCTGCTGCAGACGGCCTCCATTCAACCATCACAGCACCCTGTCCCCGTCCTGCCCAAACCTGCTCCACACCAGCCCTCCACACCCAGCCAGCAGGCTACCATCTTCCACTCTACCATCAGCCCCCATGCCCTCCACTCCTCTCTAAACCATGCCAAAGCTCAGCCCGTCCAGCTCACTGCCATCAACCTACAAATACAGCCAACAGTGAGTACACTTACACACACCAAGGTCTAAAACAGAAAGGCATTTGAATAACTTAGGTTAAAACAAACTGTTGCCAGGATCAGTCATTCCCATCAGCCTCAGCTGTACTTTGTGTTTATTGCTAATTGGCAAGTTTTAGCATGCTAAGCTAAGATGGTGAACATCATGGTATAGACATTATACTTGCATAACATCAACATGTTAGCATTGTCATTATGAGCATGTTAGCATGCTGATGTTAGTGTTTAGCTCAAAGCACAGCCTCACAATACTGCTAGCATGACTGTAGTCCTGAATGACTTGCTTTATTTGGAACCCTCAAATGCTTAGAGAAATGTGTCCAAATGTAGATGATTTTCCAAAATAAACTTGGAGCATTTCTCATACGTCTAGAGGACAAGTAAGAGGATGTCTTTTTCTCACAGTAACATTATCATTGTGTAATTTATTTTGTCCTCCTTTTTGTTTTTCTACTGAGCCATGCATTTCTGTCTTACTTAAAATTCTGACTTTGTGTTGTTCACATCCTTTTTAAAAGGTAACCATCAAAACAAACTACTGTTCCAACAACACCCACTGAATCTGTTTTTACTCCAAGGCAAAGAAAACACAGGAATCTTTTGAGTTTGGGATTCGTGGTGTAATATTTTCCCAGTGGTGTGATATTTTCCAACATTAAAAATGCCAACAGTCCCTGATCTGTCTTTTCATTACTGTCTCAGATTTACTTTATTTACTTTAATTTCTCATCTCATTTCCTTCTACATTTTGTTCTCAATGCACATCTCAGGCCTCCCGACTTGTTCAGGACTGTAAAGATAAGCCAACCTCACTGGTTGTCAGAGAGACATGTCCAACCCCCACTATGCAGCAGCAGCAGCAGCATCAGCAGCAGCAGCCGCCTCAGCTCCAGCTCCAACAACAACAACAGCAGCAGCAGCAGCAGCAACCTGCGCCTTCGCCATCACAACCCACCAAGCCTGTAGAGCAACCCAAGGTCGCCCCGGCCTTACCAGCTGTTCAGCCACAAGGTAATGATTCAGCATGATCTTTTAAGCTGCTAAATTTACTTTCTGTAGAGTTCTCAAACATTTTGGTAAATAAACTCTAACCAATTAGCCACTGGGACAAGAAGACTGGTAGCAGTTTAATAACTTGTGTTAACTACAACTTTTCACCTTGAAACAGAAAATGTTCCATTAGATCTGCTCTGCTCTCATGAATTAGACAACTTGCAGCACATTTAGTTGCACTATTGTTTCTCTTATTGCTTTGTTGTTGTCTCTGTGATTCCTTTGTGCTGTGGCCAAAAAGCTCACCTGGTACCCACAATTCACTTACTGTGTTATGCACAAACATTTAAACACAACAAAAAGCAAATTGAGGAATTAAGGAGTGTATACAGTAATATAACCAGACCTCTAATGTAAATGTATTGCTTTTATTAATTTGTTACCTGTAAATAATATTGGGAACATTTTGGCACACACTGTTTCCTGTGATCGTTTGTAGTATTTGCCTAGCCAACGGTGAGCGGGGCTGAGACCAACATCCACAGTGCAGCATTTACATACAGGGAGCAAAAAGTTAGAAACACATCTCAACATAAAGCAATCTAATACACCCCCACCACTAACTACATCCTTTCTGACAACATGTCAACAACAGCTGTACAGTATAAACATCACAAAAAGAGGATTTATTAAAATACACGCTCAAAATGAAATGCTATTCTATTGGATTGTGCAAGATTGTACAGGTGTTCAGGCTAATAAACCCGTGAGTCATAGTACAGGGGTTTAGTTAGACATTTTAACAAAACAAAAACCAAAGACAAAGAGTGAGTAGGTTGTTGTTCACCATTTTCATCAATGATACTTTAAAAGCATTCATGACTGTTGATTTACATGTTGCCTGCAGGGTGGGACCTGTGACAACTTTTGTCCATTAGACGTCTGAGGCATGCTTGTGTAATAAACTATTATGACGGTTGTTCGGAAGAATCAAGGTTTCTAAACTTTGGACAAACTGTTTTGATATATTTATTTTCTTTAGCTGCATGTATCGGGAAAATCCCAGAAATGTCATCAGTAATGTTTTTATACTGCATTTTCTGCTTATTGTGCACATCTTGTCAGCCAGGTGATTCAGATAAAAGGGATAAAGCGGGTTCTGATAAGTGATTTGACTCATGGTCCGTAGCTTTGGATGGTCCAAGGTTTGTAGTCATGCAGCAACTATACTTTTCTTGCTGAGCATAAAATTATTTTAGTGTGTGGCGTTGTTATAAGTGTTGACAGGGATCAGTTTCTATGGTGATATCGGTTGGAAATGGTGCTAATGCTGTGTTTCTTGTAAAATGAAACTTGACATTCTGTAGGGGCAGTGAGTTTGGTGTGATGTGCCGTGGAGGTGCACTGCTCACCACCAGAGCAGGAAACTATTTCTGTAATCCACAGGCTGCAGTGGCTGATGAAGATAGGTTTCAGCTTTTTTTTTTTTTTTTTTCTTAAGGAAAATGTAACATTTAAGAAAAGAGCCACCAGAGAAAAGCTGTTTTTCAGTCAAAGTGGCTTATTGAGTGTACAAGGTTTCCTGCTGCAATATATCTATTATCTGCACTGACCTCCGCCCTGCTCTCTGCTAACAGATATCCAGAGAAACTGTCACTTCTCTTTGAAGTATTTAAAGAAGTGATTTTTGGCTTTTTCACTTTCCTTTATTGTGTTATATATCTTTTTTTGTGCATGTAAGAGGTTTGCAAAGTGAAAAGTCTATCCCAAAGGGAGTTACCATCTCCTATAGAAAACACTGCTTTTGAACTGCCTGAAAACAGCTCGATTGCTGTCCAGCCTTAACTTCTGTAAACTATCTGTGTCACTTAACACACGTCTTAATGGTCGCCTAGTGGCTAATCAGGCACGCCCTCAAAAACGCTGGTGGAGAAACACACTGAGCTGCAGCACATACACAGTGACACCCGCCCGCTGCCTCCCTCACCCCCACTCTCCCTACCAAACGTTAGATAGGCAGTCAATGGACACAAAGTTGTTACTTTGATGTAGAGACAGTCAAAACGTTAACATATGAAAGATAAATGTGTTAACAGATTAATAACTTACCACTCTGAAACTCTTGCGCAAGGCTAGGTTGCAACGCTGGTTTGGGAACATATACAGCTGAACCAACACCATGGTTACAAGCTTGTCAGGACCCACCCTACTCTGCTTCTGATTAGCTAGTAGTCCTTACCTAGGTACTTTTGCAACCTGGCAATATTTGGAGGAGATGGTTGCACTAGCTAGCTTGGTTAGCAAGCTGCATCCGTAATTCATGTTAACTGTGATTTTTACCGGGATGCTAATTTTGGTTTGCTAAAAACAGGCTTTAAACAAAATTACCAGGAAAATTAACAGCTGACTCACTATCCACTGCACTGTGTAAATTTAACCAGTGGTGTTGAAAAAGCGTATGAGTCATCTCTAGCCTGATTGACAGGTTGCCATGGTAACTATTGTCAATCATAAGGTAGTCCCGCCCTAAAGCATACCATACTTCATTGTCGATTTTCCTCTAAACGGGACCATAGTTTATTAAATTAACATTATCCTGTCTTGAAGAAGACTTGAAACTAAGAATTGAGATCATAAACTCAAGTGTTTACTGAGGAGATGAATCAAGTGAGAAGTATGGTCATAGATTTCTCTACAATGGGACCTCCTTTTTGCAACCAGTGGAGTCGCTCCCTGCTGGCTGTTAGAAAGAATAAAGGCACTTATACATTGGCTTCACTTGTGAAAGTCTGTGTGTGTGCGCGCGCACACACACACACACACACACACAGCCTATAGACTTTACATTAGGATGACGGTACGCACATTAAAATGCTTCTCTAGGCTTATGGGAATGTTTAGCAAATATAAAACTTTCTTGGTTTAAAATTTCACAATATAAAAGTTTGTTTGCAGTTTGAGGTGGGCTTACAGAAATCCCTTTTTATAATGGTGGTCTATTGGAAGAATGCTTATGGTGTACCAATTGGCTGTAAGGGTAAGTGGCAGGGCCAGTAACCAGTTCTCTTAATACATCCATGCTTCAAACTCCCTTGCTGGATCATATTTCATATCATCCCATGGTTACCTTAAACAACACCCCCACACAGCATCTTTCATTTCTGTCTGAATGCTGCCTTAGCACCACCAGAATGTGTCCCAGGCAGTGGTACAGAAAAGATAATCAAACACATGAATAAAACATAGAAATCATCATAATTAAGAACTAATATAATAATTAAAAACTGTTGGGTAGACACCAAAAAGCTCTCACAGAGGGAACCTAAACTGTATCCTGTGGCCCTGCTGAGAACATATGCTCATGCCTCACGTTTATTCGTCCCTTTTCAATGGACGTAGTTTTAAAAAGGGGTTATTGTTTATATAAATAAAGCATGTGCAGTATTAGTCTGACGCAGGAGACACTCCTCCTTTTGATTCAGAGGCTTAGCGCAGGTTCACTGTTGATGCATGCGGTCTTGCAGGAGGACCAGACGTGCTAACGTTAGCTGCTGTGGGAGGAAACAGGGAGGCGGGTCCTGGTTCCTTCTACGGCTCTGAAGGGGCACTGCAGCGTAAAACTCGGTCACAGTCTAACACAGCAGCAGCTGCAGGTCGGTGTGTGTCGGATCCGGTCATTACAACAACAAACACAAGCGAAACCCCGCATGTTTTGACTCTGAACAAGGCGGAAGTCGGCGCGGTAAGAAAACTTTTCTCACGCTGGTGGAGTTTAAGCAGACAAAGCGTTAATGATTACTTTCGCTTTGTCGGGTGTTAGTGAGCCGAGAGGTCGTTCTGATTGTGGATTTTGCTGTTTGTTATTGATCGACAATGTGCCAGTAGGTCACTTGATTATTATTAGTTCGACGCATGAATAGTTATTTTAATCAGCAGGCAGGTGGATATGATTATATTTTGCACATAGGTGGCTGTAATGTGATATGTGTTTGTTTTGAATAATATAACCTCATGAGCATAGTATCTAAAGCATAAGGGCTGTAATCTGTGATTATATAAAGACAAACCGCTTTTTAGCTTGTAAAATAAAAAACAATGATTTTATTCAAGCTTTAGCTGTTCATGTCATCCTTCTAAAGACATTTCAGTAGTTTTATTTACCCTCCACATTGCAGGTATACATTTCTTTATTTCATTTAGGACTGCAAAAAATAATAAATTTCTTTGTCATTTAATGTGCTGTTTGGCTCAGGAGGTAGAGCGGGTTGGCCGTTAATCGGAAGGTCGGCGGTTCAATCCCTGGCTCCCCCTGGTTGCGTGTCGAAGTGTCCTTGGGCAAGATACTGAACCCCGATTTGCCCCTGGCGGCTATTCCGCCAGTGTATGAGTGAGTGTGAATGTTAGTTTCCGTTTGAGCACTTAGGCTCAGTGTATGAATGTGTATGACTGGTGAATGCAGATGTAGTGTAAAAAGCGCTTTGGTCGAAAAGACTAGAAAGGCGCTATACAAGTACGGAGCAGCATTTACATTCTTGATTATTTGTTTGATATATAAACTGTCAGAAAATACTGAAGCCCATGGTGATGTCTTTTAAATGTTGTTTTTGTGGCAAAAGTATTCAGTTTATGATGACTTTTGACAAGGAAAATCATCACATCCACACATTCAAGAAGCTGTAGCAACAGAACGTTTGGAAGTTTTGCTTGAATGACAAATGATTTATGAAACACTTAATTTAATTTGAAATCAATCCACTGATGACCAGCTCTCAGAGTACTTTGTTCTCATATACAGTATTAACTGGATGATATTCATTTCTTGGTCAGGAGGGGGCACAACCAAGAGGCAGAGCGCTGCACCTGGGACCCCACCTCCAGCCATGACCTCAGGAAATGAGAGCGAGGCGCCCACTGTGACGGGCAGTACGCCGCAGAACGGAGAGAACAAACCGCCCCAGGCCATCGTCAAGCCCCAGGTCCTCACACATGTCATAGAAGGCTTTGTTATCCAGGAGGGAGCTGAGCCGTTCCCCGTGTGTGTAAGTCCCCGATCTCAGCTTTACTAGCAGCGAGACATGATAAACAACCCAAAGCCACCACACTCTCCAGTGTACCCGCCTGCAGGGAGCTGTCAGCAGGCGCACACACAAACCCTCTGCTACTACTAGTAGTGACAGCTCACAGCTTCTGTTTGATTCAGTCATTAATAGTAGTGAAGTAAGACCCTGTAGCTGAAGGAGTACGGATGGATGGAGGTGTGTGTGTAATGACCCACACACTGCAGCAACTCGAGGCGTAAAACTCCCCTCTTTAATCTGTTATCTCCCTTTTTAAAATTAGATTTTATTAATGTTATTGTATCTTTATTGTTTTTCCGGTGTGTCTGTTTACCTGTGGTTGACATTTGTATCATCACATCTTCTTTAATCACTAAAAAAGAAAAGCAGAATTTAGACTGAACAGCCTTTTGTTGTGGTGCAACATAATGACATGTGCTTGTTGTAATTTGTAGGATTGGCACTAACTGCCTCCTACTGGGCATTAGGTGTAAATGCCCAGTATATTTACAGAGCTGCGCCTATCTACACAGCAAATACATGGATATGATCGTTTTGACTGTCATTAATGACTATTTGTGTTATTGATTGTTAGTTTGTTTTTTCTATTCATAAATTAGTGTTTACTCTATAAAATGTCAAACTGTGAAAAAGTGCCAATTACAAGAGAGCCCAAGGTGACATCTTCAAATTACTTGTTTGGCTGACTAGCAGTCCAAAACCTTTTAAGATATTCAATTTTAAATGATATAAAACGGAGGAAAGCAACAAATCTTCACATTTGAGAAGCTGGAACAAGAGATTTTTGGGCCTTTTTTGCTTGATTCAATGACTTAAACAATTCATTGATTCATACATTCACAATTGTTGCAGATTAGTTTTCTGCTAATTGAATATTTGACAAAGTTGTTTCAGCAGTAGTGAATGTACATTTCTTACCTTGCCAACGTTTCCAGTAGTAGTTTGTTATTACAAGACCGCCCAAAAATGATTTTTTTTTCTTTTTTTAATGGCTCTACAGCCAGTATAGACGAAAGGAATGACGATGACCAATACACCCTTGTCTTTGCACTTGAGATTTCTGTTGTGATATTTGTCAAAATTATGGCTTTGCAGTTATACACAGGAAGCAGTCCAACTCTCACAGTAATCACAACTATTATTTCTTATTCCTGGAACAACAAGCGTATCATTTTGGTAGGTTTGTATATATTTTATAATACTTTCTTCCTTTTACCAGGTGGAGCGTCTCCCCATTCTTATCGACAGCCCAAAGAAGCTGGATCATCAGCTCTCCTCAGACCCTGACAAAACCCCGGTCAGCAATGCAGCAAACACTGACTCTGAGCCTGAGGACATGAACGAGCCAGGTGAGACAAACCGTATTAGACACAAGTACAGTGGGTTGTGTATATAAGTTTGTGTCTCACTGTACTGGTGCTCATGAAACTATGGGATTCACCAATCCACCTCCTTTCCAGGGCTTGTTGGGTGATAACACAGGGGTTTCTGGCAAAACATCTCAGGATTGTCCTGACAAACTTCAAACTCAACAGGGAAAAAAATAACTCATCGAACTGTCGTGGTTACTCTTTCCACTGAGAATCCCCAACTCTAGTTTGGTATGAATAAACCTTTAATTAGTTTTAATTAGCTTCTCTGATGCCCGACCTCCCTCTTGCTCCTGTCCTGCTTGATGGCTCTTCTGTCCCCGCCTGAACCCAGCGTGCCTTTGTTGCGCCCGGAGTTGTAGTACTGGTCAGAGAAGCTGTAAATCACCTCTTTACTGTATTCCCTGTCATCAAACTGGCCTCTGTTGCTCTGAGGGCTGTGTCTGGTTCACTGAGAGGCTGCTGAGCCCGGAGTATGAATTCGACAGGTGGAGATTAGACTCAGTTGTTACGCATTGTACTTTTTTAACGCATTAATCTGTTACTCAAACTGGACTTGCTGGATAGAAAATTAATGTCTCACCAGTACCTAAAACAACCCATCCCCATTGACGCAGCATCCTATGTTTAACAAACTGGATCAGATCAGTGCCTCCCTAAAAGAAACTCCTCAAAAAACGATTTGTCAAGTGGAAGTGAACTCACCAAAACTTTGTTGTCTTTTAAATTCAGGAAAAACAAAAGTTTGTTTGTCTGTTAGTTTATGAAGCTGTGAATGACACCTACACACTGAACCTCAACCATCTTCTATCTCTGGAGCAGAAATGGTGACTTTAATATTGTCATCCTTACATGGACGTCACCATGTTGAGCTGCCATGTTTCTACAGTAGCCCAAACGGACAAACTGCTTTACAGCACACTTTCATCACTACGTAGGAGAAGTGTATATAGTAGTAGTTAGGGGTGGGAGAAAGAATCGATTCTTAGATGTGTTGCGGACGTGGAAGATTCTGACTCGATTAACAAATGTCAAAAAATCTATTTATTTAAATGTTAATTGATAACATGTAATGTTAACAGAATGCAAAAGGCGTGCACATAGCGGAGACTAGTGTTCTCCCTGTATTCGGCATGCCACCTCTGCGGAATGAATAACCACTCTTCTTAAATGTCACACAATAATTAATATCAATGATATCACTGCCCAAGTAATTGATTTTAACTTTTAGCTAGCTCCCTGCATAGTGTGTGTGTGTGTGTGTGTTGCCAAGCGAATGAGAGAGAGCGAGCGGCAGAACTTGATGGTGAAAGTTAGTAGAGTGTTTTTGTTTTGTTTTTTTTTGTTCCTCCTCAAATCTTTATTGCAAAAAGAAGAATAAAGTGTACATGGGAAATAAAGAAGTATACAGAACAGTATACAAATATGCAAGAAGACTTTGCCAGGGATAGTCTTTATTATATAAAGATGTTAAGAGGACCATATGTTGACAGACACAGCCTTTTTGTTGTTGGATTTAGAAATTAAATTAATGTACAGCCTCATGGAGAAAAGGTACAAAGTTAGTTTTTATTACTGCCATTAAAATTAATACATTTATTATAAAGTACTTATTTCTTCCGAAGAGCAAGCGAATGCATAGTGACCCAACCCTCACCACTAGATGCCACTAAAACTTACACACGGAACATTTAAACAAGTTTAATAGTCAACATGTTCAATACATTTACATAAACTGAAATGTTTTACTAAAGTTTTTTTGTGGGTGATCGCAGTTATTTGGTCAGAGGTGATGCCACTCTTCAAAGAGTAAATGTCTCATATGAGAAGATAAATTATTTTTGAGTGTCTTCTGTTTATGCTGTTTTCTTGCACACAGAAAAAGAGCAAGAACCCAAGCTGACATGTGAATACTGTGGCTGGGTCGACTTTGCCTACACGTTCAAAGGCTCTAAAAGATTCTGCTCCATGGTTTGTGCAAAGAGGTAAGTCTCCTTTTTGTTTAAACGAGAAGAAATATAAAACCAAATAGTTTTTTTGCCAGTTATAGTAACGTGGAAAAAAAGGATAAGCTCTAATAATGGACCTTTCTGGACAGGTACAATGTGGGCTGTACGAAGAGGATAGGACTTTTCCATCCAGAGAGGACTAAACCGACAAATCGCTGGCGTAGAAGATCTCAGGGCCGCTCCAGTATAGAGGCTAAGAAGCGGGTATGGAAACACACACTCCTTCACTGTTCTAAAACATCCTCATCAACACTTTACCCCAATCAGATACTGCTTCCACTGCACATTTTATACCCTGCACTTTTCACGCCTCATGCTTTTTAATGAATTTAAGCATCATTTGTGCCGGTGCCAGATTATCTCCCTCTGTCTTTAAAGGGTCATTAAGTACTCAGTGATCTTTGTCAATGTTTATTGGTGACCAGTAGTAGAGATTTTCTGCCTCCTGTAGTCCATATAGAGATCAAAAGCAACTGGATTAGATGTTTTTGGTTGTTTTTTGTTTTTTTGCCACTTATCCAAGACATTGACATAGTATTTCTAGATATCCTTTGATAGTACTAAGCAGCTCGTCCCCTCCCTTGAAATACTGAAACTTGTAATGGCACAAGTTTTTAAAATATTTTTACAATAGAGACAAGTAGTTTACATAATGAAAGCAGAAATTATATAGAAATGTCACTCAATCTATTTTACAATGTGTAAAAATTTAGTTTTTTTTGGCTCGAGAGCAATCCATTTAGGTTTATAGCCAAAATGTTTTGAGTTATGTAATGCCTCGAGGGTTGGGTCTTGAACCTCCAGTGGGTGGTGCTTTTGTTTCATGTTTGGACCTGGGAGTGAGTTTGAAAATCCAGAGGATTCAGCAACTGACAAAATAATTGTCGAGGCATTGGTATTGATCCAACAACCTGCAGGGGAATTATACTCATTTGAAGTTATTGCACAGTATAAATTTTACTTATTGCCCCTTTAATTTTTGTTGGAACATTGTGTTTGACACAGCAGTGTTTTACTGATAAGCCATTTTTCAAATTCTCCTTTCCAGAAGCTGTCCCCCTCACCACAGCAGACTCTGGGCGGTTCTGTATCCTCACCACATCCCTCACAGCCCAGTCAGGAGGAGTCCAGCCCGTGTTCGGACATGTCCAGCTACGAGGAGCCGCCGTCTCCTCTGTCGGCTGCCAGCTCAGGACCCCTGGCTCCTGTTCCGGCCCCAGCTCAGGTCCCCGTCCACCGGCACCCGAGCAGGGCATCAGACCAGGAGGGCTGCGCTGGGAGAGATGTACCTTCACTCTGTCAGCGCTTCTTACCCAACGACCCCACCAAGTGGAATGTGGAAGAAGTTTATGAGTTCATCCACTCACTGCCAGGTCAGGAAACGCACTCATAAAGCATTATAAACAGATTATTATTTTCCTTATAAATCCTGTGTTACGTATGACTAACTGCAACTTTACTCCTTCCTCTGCTGTTCATGCAGGCTGTCAGGAAATAGCAGATGAATTTCGCTCTCAGGAGATTGATGGACAGGCCTTGCTCCTGTTAAAGGAGGACCACCTCATGAGCACCATGAACATTAAACTGGGACCTGCACTCAAGATCTTTGCACGCATCAACATGCTCAAAGACTCTTAGCAGGAAAGTGTGTTGTGCTCTCCTGAATTTATCTTGGGAGTATGTGTGTGAGTGTAAAACTTTGGCACAGGGCAAGTGATGCATCATTGTAACACTGACAACACAGACTGACTGCACCATGACCTCGGCTTTGACAGAGAACCTCTCTTCAGCTGGCACTCATATTCACCTGTCTGTTCAGTACTCGCGTGACCATGTAAACTTTGTCATCTGCTGGACTGATGGTGGTCATATTAGAGCTGCAGCACTAACAGGGGTTAAGTAGTTCTCTGGTAGGTAGAAACAATGACATCGGTGTTAAATCCCAGAATGTTGATCTTCACATTAAATTAGGGCTGGACAATAACAATAATTATTGCGATACACTTTTTTTCAATAACAAAACGATAATATAACAAATGTTTAATAAATATTCAATAAATATTGATTTTATTCACTTGGAATCATACACAAATTAGGACTTACTTTTTTTATTAAGATGTTTTATTTTGGTGAGGAAAAAGGTCTGAAAAAAGCTTTTACTTAATTTTACTTATGCATATTTGTTGACAATTTGATCATAATTAATTAATAATTATTTTCAATGTTTTACCTCAGATTTGTGAAATGATCCACTATTTGGCCTGAAGTGTTGACCATAAAGATGAGTTTAAACCACAGTTAACAATCAGGTTTCTTCAACTTTCAATCAGGAGCAAAAATCAGCCTTTAAACTCAAAAGAAATAACGATTTGACACTTATCGTGATAATTATCAATATCTATAGATATAAAACTTTTTATCATGATAACATTTTTGGCCATATCGTTCCAGCCCTACATTAAATGAGTTGAACATATTTGTTTTACACCTGGCTGTATCTGATGTCTGACCAGACCCGATTTGGATGTGATCAAATGTCAGCCAGGTGTAAACGCCATCTATACTGTCTTTTGGGGCTTTTTATGCTGTTATTAGGGAGTCGACAGTATAGAGAAGCAGGGGAAAACATGCAACAAAGGACATTGCAGTTAATGGTTGGAGCCTTAGACCCCTAGCCCTCCAGGGCTCCCCTGTTTGGCTACATTCTTGGAGGTAAAAAAACAAAAACACCCCAGCCAAGGTGAAAGATCACAAAGGTCTCTTCTTGCTATTTCAAGCTGCCTGTCAAAAAGCTACTTATGACCTTTTCCTGTGCAAAGGAGAAGTAAGTGGAACCCATAAAGCAGCATCAATTTCCTTGACCTTAAACATGCTGTGTCCTTTGTTGTGTACCTACATTTGCATATTATGATCTAATCATAATGCAGATTTGAGATAACAAGTGCTTACTAATACCAGGTGTACATGCAAAGGGCTTTTATCAAATGTCATTATCCAGATAACACATTTATATACAGATTCCATGATAATATCGGGTGTAAATGTCTGATTTGGCCTCGGGGGGGAGTTTAAGTTTAAAAAACAGTGAAGAAAATAAAGTTGAAAGAAGTAGTAGTGCTAAAGTGCACTACCTGTTCAGTTGTGCATAGGTTGGATCACACTGCAGCACAGTCATTACTGAATTGAAGCATTGAGACAAACATGAGTGAAGTCAGAGTTTATTATTATTAGAGATGTTTTTTGTACAGTTATGTTAGCGTGTGAATGAAAGAAGTGACTGAATGTGTGGCTGGGAACAAAAGATTGCTTTCATTAATTTGCTCATTTTCATTCAGTAGATGCTCTCTTTGCCTTTTCTCACAATAAGACTCTCAAAGCTCTCGAATACAAAGCTTGAATGCAGAGAAACCATTGAAGCAGCTTTTGTGACATCGATTTCCCTTTCATGAGGAACTCGACAGTTCTCTCCTGTAGATTTAAACTGCTTACAAATGATTTTTATGCCGCTTTTCCAAAATGATTTACTAAAATATGACATTGATTTCTTGTCTTAGCTTCATAGGAGGACACTAAGTTATCCGAGAAACAATTCGGGTATGCTGCTTTCTTCACACAGCCCTGCTTTTGGCACTTATTTTCCTTTTTGTTTGCTTTAATATTATGAGACACAGTGAGAGACGACTTTATTTGTACATATAGTAGCAGCTCAAGTGAGGAAAAAGAGTCAAAGTGTGAAACTATAATTTTTTAAGTTATCCTTGTTATTTTAAAACAGAAACTTAATGGTGTTCAATATTTTGGAATATGCAAATGTATAAATATAGCCTGGAAGTTCTTTTTTATGTTTTCTTTTCTAATGAAAATAATGATCATATCCATGTGTTTTGTGACTGTGATGGAAGGTCAACTTTTTTAGATAAGGCTTTGTCAAATGCTTGTATTTATCAAAAACATTTGTTACACAACATTTTGCAATTCTAAATAATTTGCAATACACTTCTGTCTTTGGCCATTTTTGTGTGAAAGGAAAAGTTAATTACAAATGTTTTTAGACAATATTGCAGTTTATTGAGATCTCGTACTGTCATTACATTCACTCATTTGGCGCTTTTATCTGAAGCGACTTACATTTACAACACACAAGCATCAATAAAGTAAGAGATCTATTAGTAACAATAGATATTGGTAAGAGCAACATTAAATACTAGTATGCGCTATTAGCGCATAAGGCATCAATGGCGTAAATACCTAGGGGAAGAAGAAAGAGTTAAAAATTGTGCAATCAATACAAGAGAATTGTAAGGAGATTGAAGAAGAGCACAAGACGTGCATGTTAGGGGTAAGAGGTGTTGGAAGAGGAAGTGTTCTCGGAAGAGATGTGTTTTCTAGAACTTCTTAAAGTTGGAGAGAGGCTGCATGTATCACATTGTCATGTTTTTAAATTTTTGTTTATCTTTTTAAAGGCATGAAATGTTCCTGGTTTGTAGGAAACAACAATGCAAACCTCCAAAATAATTTGTTTTCAATGATATGAAAGAACAAAGCAGCACATTGTCAAATTTGTGTGTCAAGAGCCATTTTTGTAAGATATGACTGAAACAAATTGTCATTGTCAAGTTTATTTTTGTAAAGGAATCTACAAGCAATTTCAGCAAAAAAGGTAAGCTATATAAGGTAAATTATATTTATATATCCCATGTAGGGAAATTAAAGTGTTACAGCAGCAAAGGAGAGTACAAATAGTTTTTAAAATCACTTTACTAAAGGAACAATAACATTACAAGACAGAACTGGGAAAAATCAATATAAATGAAGACTTGAATAAATGTTTTACAAAATTATAAACATAAACAAATCTGTGTAAAGAAAATGTGTATTGTTGCAAAATGCAGTGATAGTATTTATTTTAGGGATCTAGAGTGTATTCTACAAATGTGTTTGTGTTCACTGTTCATCCCCTGTACAGTAGTTCCCTCTCTTCAGAGCCGTGTCGAAGTTCGTGGTAGGTAGGAAACATGACATTTCCAGCTTTCGTCTCAAACAATGGACCATTTATACAAACACACCGGCCGCATTCCATTTTGTTTCCACTGAATTATAATGGTGAGTTTTCTTTCAAACGCAGTGACATGCTGAGGTGTTTGTAGCTGTTGACTACAGACAGAGGGGCGGAGAAGACTAGAAACATGCTGTACCGACACGCCTACTGTTATGATTTGAGAACTGGGCAAACTAACTGAAGCCGTCGTCTTTTTCTGTATTTATACAGAAAGGAATAAAAGACAACCATCTAAACACATTTATATCAATATGTTGTAACACGCTACAATTGCACAAACATTTAGATCAGGTTTTAAAACGATAGTGTTGTCTTTTCTAAAAATCCCCCCCATAACTGTATCAGAATGGTTTAGCCCAGATTCAAACTTGATGTTGTGCTCTGTTGCTTTTAACGGCAGGTAGATGTTACCTAGCGTTATGTACGTGTGTTTTTCATCAGCATCTTCATAAGTCTTCATAAATTCCCCGAAATAACAACAACCGGTAAGTTGGGAGAGGGCTGCAACTAATTATTTTCATTGCCAATTAGAATTATTATTTTGTTGATAAATCATTTGGTGTAGCATCCTATGGAGATGTTATTGAAACCGTGAGAGGCAAGTGAGAAAAACAACTTGGTGATCCATTTTCCAAGTCTTATCTAAATTGTGTGTGTTGTTAAAACCTATGGAGCTGTTGTGTTGATTTGCCTGGGCTTTACTTTTTGAGCAGAGTGTAACGTTAACGTAACTGGTTTGCTGGATGTGTCTTAAGAAATTGGATTGAGGAGTGAAGACGAGCGCTTCTCCTTGTCGTTAACACTTGGCATGGAAACAGCTGTTTAGCTGTCAAATGTTAGCTAATAATAATTTTCTTATAATGTAAACATTACTGAAAGCTACCTTTTGAGCTGTAAGTTAGTTTAGCTAACATTAAAACTATGTTTGCTGGTTTTAATCAAGTGGCATCCTTCAGGTCTGAAAAGTGAAGCCACTGCGGAAAAGCCTTAAACCTGCATTCTTTCTAATGGCCAGCAGGGGGCGGATGTCCGATTGCATTGGAGTTAATGACAACAGTTAATGACCCTACATCTCACTTTATTTATTACCTCAGTAAACACTTTACTAATGAGTTTGGTCTCAATCGCTAGTCTCAAGTCTTCTTCAATACAGGATAATGCCTACTAGTAAACGATGGTCCCATTTAGAGGAAAATAGTCAGTCCCTACTACCTTATGATTGACTAGTTGTTACCATGGTGTCCTATTATCACTATCCCCCCATCCCCATGTCTGTCCCCTGTCCGGCCCGGTGACAAATACATTGAAATAAATAATAAAACAGACAAATGAGTATATTAATGCACTTGTTAAAGTAAAATCTGTCAGGCACAATATGGTATCCAGCTCCTCATCCTCTATACCAGGCTGCCAGGCAGGACAGTTTAAAAAAGAAAAAAGTCGTTTTTTTTTCTTCTTCAAAACAGTCTGATGTTCATTTTGTCAATTAGGGTCGAAATTAGAGTAAAGTAGATGATAAAGCAGTATATAAATTAGGGTGTGGCTACCTTGTGAATTAGGATAGAAGCAAATCCTATCCACTACACCCTGTGTACATTTAACTAACCATGGACTTATTTTTGTTTTTAGCCTGTTTTTGACTTGCCAAAATTAGCAGTCCAATTAATATCACAGTTAAAGTGAATTACGGAGTCACCTTACTAATCAAGCTAGCTAGCTCCACCCTCTCATTGAAATATGGTCACGTCTGGTTTCCCAAAACAAGAAGGCAACAGCCAAAAGAAAACAATTTAGATCAGACATAGAAAATGGATCACCAGAATTTTTTGTTGCACTTGCCTCACAGGGCTTCTGTAAGTAGTTGGATTTCTTGTTTTATTTTACTGACTGTCCAGAAGCCAAAAATATTTAGTTTACTATCATATCATAGCAAATCTTCACATTTAAAACGCTTGAAATGTCATGTTTGGCATTTCTGCTAGAAAAATAACAATTATTAAAATGGCTGCAGATTTCTTTTCTGTCGGTTAAGTCATCGATTAATAAACTTAAAATTGCAGCCCTTTATATTTTTAGCTCTGTTGAATTTGTTAGTTACTGAGAATTTAAATGTCTAGACTGTTGCTGAAATGCCAAATCAAAGAGACAAGACCGCTGATGATTCCCCTGCTGACCTTCCCTGTCTGGAAAAACTTGACTCTCCTACGGGTATGAAGCTTTATTAAGGCAGTTATTGTTTTCAGGCACGTTCAGGGACCTGTAGTAATTTAATTATTACCACCGTTGCAGTTCTAATTATCTGTGGGTGTGTGTGTCCTGTCTGTGGTGTCAGGGAGCCCACCCACTGCCTCATTATCCAGGCTGATGGAGCTGGAAAATTGTGTTTCCAACCTGAGCCTTGCACATGAGATAGTGGTGAACCGAGACTTCTGCTTCAAACCCAAGAGCCCTACTACAGACAGGCAAGGAAAACACTCCACCGCAGCTAAAGTGACCTTGTTTTATTCTTATGTCCAAAATTTAGTGAGAGTTTAGTCTCTTCTGAGCTATTTTCTTTTGTTATTTTCCTTCTGTAGCCTGGAGGGCAGAGTGACAGAGATTGTTCACCGGGCGTTTTGGGACAATCTTCAAGAGCAGCTGAACAGTGATCCTCCAAACTACAGCCATGCTGTCATTCTGCTCCAGGAAGTCAAGACTGTAAGTGTCTATGGCACCAAATCCAAGTAGGTCTATCTGCGGGTCCACAGTAGTACAGGACCAGACTACAAGCTGTCAGACTTTTAAACTCAAATTCATCCTCAGCACTACTCCATTGATTATAGTTTATTTCTGTTTTACCAATTTTATAATTGATTCTGTATTAATGTATATTGTCTGCTCTGTAGCAAGAAGGGAGTTACAAAACTCAGTTTCACTCTATAACTTGTTATATTGCGACAATAAAGCTACCTACAACATGACATGCCTTCAAAACGGTAGCAGTTTGGGTAGGTTTAGGCACAAAAAAGACTTGATTAGGGTTAGGAAGAGATTATGTTTTGGGTTAAAATAAGTATGTTAATCCAGGAAGTTATCTCGGGGTGTGACATGTTGTAGTACAGTGGGTGTGTCTGTGAGACTGCAGAGAGACCCTTCACATCAAATCAGAAGCTTTACTAGCAGATGAAGAGGGTCTACTGAGACCTCTGATCCCATTCATTGCCATATGCTTTCAAGATCAAAACCAGAGTTTACACAGTATGGACAAATGACACATAACACATGGCCAGCCTTTAGTCACTGGAAATAATTAGTATTAATAAAAATATAGAGGTAATAGTAGGTAACGTAATATTTTCATTACTGAATTATCTATTCATATGTATATAATCACATGATATCTACATTGCAATGATAGTGATATTTGTAGAGATGTTGTGGCTAATGATAGTTATTATTGACTAAAGGAATAGTTTGACATTTTGGGGGATATGCTTATTGGCTTTCTGGGAGTGAGATGAGAAGATTGATACCACACTCATGACTGTGGGGTAAATATGGAGGTTGAGCCAGCAGCAGCTTGGCGTAGCTTAGCATAAAGACTGGAAACAGGGGAAACAGCTAGCCTAGTCTGTCCAAAGATAACAAAATCCACCTACCAGCACCTCTAAAGCTCCCTATTGGCAAGTTATATCTCCTTTTGTTTAATCCTACAAAACCGAAATGACATGTGGGCATCGTGTGCCAAACTATTCCTTGGCCAGGCACAGTCACTTACTGAACTCTCCGCTGGTTTACTGGCGACCTCATGGTGACAACAAGACTTCAGCGATATCAATCTCACATTTCAACTGAACTCTTGGCAAGTGTATTTTCCAAAGTGTCTCTTCCTTTAATCTATCGATTAGAGACCAACTGATGCAAAAAAGATTTTTAGGCCAATACAGATATTTGAGAGTGGGAAAAAAAATCAGCCAACACGTACTTCAACACCACATTGTTTTAAACAAAAACAGCCAATAATATTGGCCTGTTGATTCATCATTTGAGCTCTTGTAGGGATTATGTTTTCATTTAATTGATTCATTGTTCCTGATATCACTGTGGGAGATATTATTAGATTGTTTGTACGTGTAGATGAAAAGAATGGCATCCAAAACTCTCTAAGCAGGAGGTGAAGTCTTTAGTAAGAGGCAGATTGACATTGTCCATGTGGATATTAAAATCACCCAGCAGTAATATATTTGGTGAGAGAGAAGATAAGTAAGTGAGAAAAGCAGTAAAATCATTTAAAAATTCACTCTTTGGTTTAGGGGTGCGATAAACCGTTGCAATGATGGTTGGGGTGGGACCAGATAACTTGCAGACAACAGATTCGAACGTGCTAGAGACAGGTGCGGACACGGGCGAGACTTCCCACTTTTCGCGATACATTATCGCCGGAGCAGGTCAGCTGCCGAAAAACTGAGGCAGACCCGTCACTAGCAGGTGAACAGGCATTAGAAAGAGCCAGACACAAACAAACAAGATGTATGTCCTACCGGCCCACATTATAGATGGGGATTTAAGCGGCGTGAAAACAAGCAAGATGAGGCTTAGACCAGAACGGAACAGGTGAGATAACTATGAAGGCTCAGACAAACAGTAGTGCCGGCAGGTTGTAAGGGTATTCCGTATGAAGGGAATTACATTGTCCGATTGAGTTATAGAACCAAAAGGTAAGTCTGAAAGTTAAAAGATACGAGGTTTACCAGCGAGCAGCGGCAGCAAGTTGCGCCAGCGTTCACTCGCATCCGGGTTCCGGGTAAAACTACATCTTGTACTCTAAACCACATGAACTTTTAAGGGAGAGCTGAAATTTTCTGTATGTCAACTTAACTACACTAAAGATATCCTCATATTGCCTGTTAGATGCTTCAGTCCCTGCTGCTGCCCGGTCACGTCAGACTGAGATCTCAGCTGGACGAGGTGCTGGACATGGAGCTGATCCAGCAGGAGGTCGATCACGGAGCTCTGGATCTCCACAGATTGGCAGGATACATCGTCAACACCATGGCATCTTTATGTGCACCTGTGCGTGACTCAGAGGTCAGGGCACTGAGGGACCTCGAGGGCCCAGTGGGGCTACTGAGGTGAGGGGCAGGTTAACAGACAAAGCTTGTGTCTAACTAGATATCTGAATAAACCCAGGTTATTTGACCCATTTTTACACAAAGCAAGGTCTGTAACCAACTGCATCTCCATACACATCACAGCTAAACCAGATTATTACATCAGATCTAAGAGTTTTAGGCCTTCATTTCATTGAAAGTAGTCTATAAAGTTTACTGATATCTTCTTCATGTTACTTCTCACTGTCATTTGGAGCCACCAACGGGTTAAAATTATTTTTTGTTAGTGTGTTTGTGACTTTGATGTAGTCCCAGTTTGTGTCTCTCATGTATCAGCCTACATTCGAGTCACACACACAAATTTAATTTGTGTGTAAAGTCTACAAAAGATCTTAGTATGTACTTGCTTGTTTCAAACTAGCTAACTAGTCATTTCCATAATCAGGTTTCACTATTAAAACTTTACTGATACTGTAGCTTCATGAGCTGTAATATACTGTAACCTTGAAAAATACCATTTTAACTGCCAATCCTTTGTAAGTATGGGCATGACTGTGCATTCATGTAGAAATATTTCTGTTATGGGTGAGTGGAAAATATCCGTCTAAGCTAACCTAACAGTATTTAGTCATTTTTGTTATTAGCATAATGCTTTGTAATTTGAAGTTTTTTGTGTAATATAATTTAAATTCCTCTTAGTTTACACTATTATTAGATGGCCTTTTGAATTGTCACTATATATTACCTCTTTTACTCATCAACCCAAAGGGGTCATATCAGTTCTCTTCCCGTTAACTAACCGTGTGTAACAGTTACACCTGGCATAGTAGGCGTAAATATTTAGTACCTAATCTCTATGTAGTAACTAGTTTGTGTGATGCAAACCCTTTTCATTTAGAGAAACTGATGGTTGCCTCTGTGATTCAGATGTATGTAACAGGAACAAACTGGGGCTAACTTTGTAGGAGGCTAAAAGTAAAAAACTATATATCAGACATTATAGAGAGCTGGTCAACTTGTCTTCAGAAACTTTATGTCCACCTGTGCATCCATACCTTCTGTTACTTCCACTGAAAACTGAACACAATGGTGCTTTTTTTCTAAATTAGTTCACATCATTAAAAAATCAATCAATCATCATTTGTTTTCTTGTGACTTGTTATTGATTCTATATTTTTGTCAAATCAATTATTCATTTTTTGGATGTTGTCTTCTCACCCTGTGCCTTTCCTTCTTCCTGTAAAGCACTTCCTCCATTTGGAATAGTGCTATATTAATAAAGGTCGCATTTGTAATACATTTTTTTTGGTAAAGCATCCCAAAAACTGTTTCATGCAAAACTGATTCCCCTTCCCTTCCCTTAGGGAAATCTTCCGTGTCTTGGGCCTGATGAAGACCGACATGGTTAACTTCACCCTCCAGAGCCTGAGGCCTCACCTCCTGCAGCAGGCCGTGCAGTACGAGAGAGCCAAATTCCAGCAGATTCTGGACAAGCAGCCAGGTGAGGAAAGGAGCTTAAATCTCAAACCTGACTGCTACAGTGTGAGTGACAGATGGTGAAGGTGACTTTGTGACTGTGAAATGTATGGTCATTACATATTTCACTTCTTAATTAAAAAGATTTTGACCTTTGTCGCTCTAATGCACCGTCCTGCCATTTTTCAGCTACTCATAGATTGGGTGAAGAGCTGGACAGCCAATCAGTAAACTCTATTCTGGCTAAGTACAGCTGGCAAATCAGGGTCATTGGCAGAGTGACAGGGCCCTTGGTGCTGACACAGTCAGGTTAGCTGTGATACTAAATATACGCAAGTCTTTTATCCCCCTAGAAAGAGTGTCCTTCAAATTAAATTTTGTAAGCAAATTAAATAATGTGGTTACAGTATTCTATATACCAGCAATATTGTAGTTTTAATAGCATTTTTTTCCAGTCATCTTGGATGCTGTGAAAGTGAAGCAAATGTGCTACAAACACAATGTAATTGGTTTTGGTCCCCATACTCCCTAAACATCATTCAAAACACTCTTCACACTTCAGCGGCGTTGCAGTAGATCTTAATCATGTGAAACTGTTGAGGTTTTCATTTATACATATGTCTTTTACTGTTTTTCTTCAGCTTCTCTGCACAATACCACAGCTTGGCTTCAGGCAGCAGCGTCAGAGGAGGAGTCGGCCAGTAGAGCCCAGTCGGAGTCTCTCAGTCCTGACAGCCGAGGTCCTGTTAGCGCCAACGCTGTACTAAACCGGGCCTACATGAGTCTGTTATTCTGGGACCCGCAGGACCAGAAATATCCTGAGGTCAGCTGCAGTCTGCAAAATTATATCACACTACACTTCCTTTCATCAGAGTGATATTTTATTGATTATCAGGGAATATTCAGTCTCCCAAAACACCCCTTCACCCTGATGCATGTTAAAGCATGTGACAACTCATTAGAGCTCATGTAGCATTGTAGAACAGCATTTCCCAACCTTATTCTGTCTGACACAAAGTCCTGTCAGATGAACAAAATATCGGCCGGTAAGGGCTTTAAAATTCTGTATCGGTCCAAAATGAACATTCCTGCCCGTATAACAGGCCGATGCAAAGTGAGTTTAAAACTGTCGGATATCTGCAAAAGTCCAGTTTCATGCATCCCTATCTACAGTCTTTCCATGTACCTCCTGGCGGGTACATGTACCCTTGGTTGGGAATCACTGTTGTAGAATATCCAAAGCCGAGAATGCTGTCATCTAGATGTAGCTGTTGGTTTTCTTTGTAAAGTTCCCTATGATTAACCATATGACGTGACCTCGACCTCCTCACACAGACTGCGTTGATGGACCGAGCCCGTCTGGAGGCTCTGGGCCAGCGGCTCCAGCTACTGGTCCTGGAGGCATCGGTGCTGCTTCTGATCAATGCTCAGTGTGGAGGCGCCATTTTCTCCCTGCAGGGGTTTGTAGGTAAACTCAGGCAGTCCGTCGCTGCCCTGCTGGAGGGCAGTCACACCAGGTAAGAGGAGGATTTGGTGATGCATGTACTGGCTGTCATGGGGAACAGGTATTGTATGAGAAGGAAACCAATGGAGGTGACAGGAGGCAACTAGCTTGTCAGAACGGATCCAGCTAACCTCATTCTTTCTGTTTAGAGAAGCCCCGTCATGATTAGTGGATAAATGTGGAACAGCAGCTTGTGATATTCAAGGCCTGCTCACACTCTGGTCCAGGGTGCAATAAAATGTAGCAAAGGCTATTTATCCCATAAGGATCTTTTATTAAAATCTAATTTTATTTCATCTAATTCTCTTCTGAGACCTAGTTGTTATTGACTTCCACGAGTCCCTTTGCTCAGTCTCTTATTAATGGATAAATTCATATGCCTGCTGTGACCTAATACACATCTAATGAAGCCTGCAGGTGATTTGTCTAATGCTGGTTTCTGGTGCTGCAGGGAAGCTGACCTGAAAGGTGCGCTGCTGGGTCTCGGGGAGACAGTACTGCAGCAGGTGAATGAAGCTCTGAGCGGCCAGGGAGGAGCAGCGCTGCCTCAGGAGAGCCTGGATCTGCTGAAAGGACAAATATCCGAGCTGTGGAAGCACAACAACCCGGTCCGCACGCTCATAGGTCAGACTGAGCACAGGGACTAGGGAAATCATTAATTGAAGCACAAATGGCGAGGGGATGGTGTAAATCCACATATTACATTTAAGTTTCCATGTATTTATTGCTAGATTTTGGTGGTTGTTATGTTTTAATAAACATTTAAAGGTTCAGTGTGTAATATTTAGGAGGATCTATTGACAGAAATGCAATATAATATAGGTTTTCAGTGGTATATAAAGACCTTACATAATGAACCGTTATGTTTTTATTACCTTAGAATGAGCCATTTCTATCTACATACGCCGCAGGTCCTCTTACATGGACGTTGCCATGTTGCGGCGCCATGTTTCTATAGTAGCCCAAATGGACAAACGTTTCTTTAGAACGCGTTTATCACTACATTGAATGTGCACAAAGAAAAAGAAGAACAAGTAACGTTAGTAGTACTAGTAGTCGTGGTTTATTAGAAATAGGAAAATAAGTGAAATTTGGACAACTGGAGGCCCACACGTAATATTTAGCACAAGAGTCGACAGAGCATGTCGGCCAGGGAGGGGTGGGAGGTGCATGCATGTGGAGTCGGAATAATCAGAATCTTTTTGAACCTCCTTAAATCTTTATTGCAAAAAGAGAAATAAAGTGTATATGGGACATAAAGAAGTATACAGAACATTGATTCGTGCAAAATCATGTGTTGCATATACATAATTTGAAAACATGTCATTTGTAATGTGGTTATAACGCTTAGTTTGCTGTCCGTGTAGAGTGAACTAGATGTCTGCATGTTGTTTATACGCTCTGATAATGCTAATTAGCGTCTATGTTGATTCCACATGAACACACACTGAAGTTGGAAGAACAATTTCACAACTCAGGAAATGGGACCATCCGAGAAGCATGTGAACGCACCATGAGTTGCTGGTTGCAATTTGCAACCCTCATCACTAGATGCCACTAAAACTTACACACTGAACCTTTAAGTTCAGTAAGTAAGTAATATTTTAGGCTGATAAACCCTTCAAAGCTGTTGGAAATACATTTTGATAGAGAAATTGAAGTATGTTTTAGTCTGTAAAAAGCTGACAGTTTGGGATGCACCATTTTCACTCAACAGGAGAAACATGCCTTGCAACGAAGGTTTATTTTCTTTATTGATTAATCAGTCCATTATTTTCTTAAGTTATTGATTTATCATTTTGTCAGTAAAATGTCTGAAAATATTTAGTTTGCTTTCATATATGACAAAAAAAGCTGTAAATCTTCACATTTAAGGAGCTGGAACCACAGGATGTTTGGTGTTTTTGCATGAGAAATTACTCAATATTAAAAACACGACATGTTCACATTTTAGACATCTTTTTGCTGCATACTGTTAATTGTAACAGCTTACCAAACTTAGATTACCTGAGCTGAGTGATTTTTATGTTTTCACTTCATTTAAAGTAGACAATTCAGACTTTTTAGGGTGATAAACTCTTCAAGACTTATTCAAAATACATTTTAATCTGTACAAAGCTGACATGTTGGGAATGCACATTTTGTCATTTAGTTTGGGTTATCTCTGTCCACATGCATCTTTTTAAACTTACATATGTGGTGTTGCCGAGAGATAAATTCTTCCCTACTCTCTCCTTCACCCACTCATCTCTCTCTCTCTCAATCAAACAGGAGGAAGGGTACGGGGCTTCCTCCAGGCCTTGCTGCAGGGCGGCCCCGCTAAAAGGAGTCCAGAGCTGCCCTCTCCCCTCAGGCTGGTGAGTGCTGAGCTAGCCGACATGGGGATGGCCTTTGGGCAAGTCGTACACTTCAACCGAACAGTCTTTGGCCCCTTCTACGCACCCATCCTCAGGAAACTGCTGTTCCCACCAGGAGAGGCTGAGACCGGGGAGGACTCACGCTAGGCTGGGGGCGACCCAGACAACCTCCAGTGACCTTAAAATAAGCTGCCATTTGCATTAAATGTGTAGCTATAGATAGTGTGAATACAGTGAATGAATGTTTGAGGGAAAGACATTTACAGTCTGCAGGGGGGGAAAATGTTGTATATTATATTTTTTACAAAAAAGTCTAAATCAAAGCCTGAGGCAGGTGCTGAATTATTATTCCATTAATGCATATTACGCACACATTTGAGTGCACAAAACATTAGGACACCTAATAGATTGTGTGAAACAAAATGAGTAATAGTTTTTACTTGGACAAGAGTAACAAATAGTTTGTAGTGTGTTAATTCATAACAAGAGACTGATTGTGATTCTTGTTTAAATGTTTAGAGGAGAGCAGTTGCTGGAAAACACATTTTTTGGTTTTCACTCAGTTTACTTTGTCTCAAGATAAACACCCTCAGGAAAAAAACAAAAGTACCAAAGATTATCCTAATAGTTTGTAAATGACACTTCAGTTTTAAAATGTAGCTGGTTTCTTTATGTTGGCAGATGTTTGTATTAGGGCTGAACGATTAATTGCATTTGCATTATTATCGCGATTTGATAACACAAGATTTTCTAATCGCAAAGGCTGCGATTACGTTCTGGTCACATGACACGCGAGAGTAAAGCAGTCTGCAGAGGAAGCATCAACTTACGCTCTACGTTGACTTGTACAGTGGCCTCAAGCTTGACAGAAGCTGACACTACAGAAACTTTAGTGTCACACAGGGAATGAAAGTAGCACCCGTGGGTAACTTGGTGATGTTGGTGGTTGAAAATGTCCAGCCATCCGCTGGATGACCGTAAAAATACACAACAGAAAGACGCGTGTAGTAAGGTAAGGGTATTGTGGCGATCGGCGCCTGTGTCACACACAGCCACCAGTCAGCTCAGTAACTATCTATGTAACGGCGTTTCAAACAAAACTCACAAGTACGAAAGACGCCCAGTCTGTCCCGAGTTAAGAGATAGACTCCTAGAGATTTGAATGGAGATAAGGACCTTAATTAGTGGTTGAACTGTGGGTTTTGTATTGAGCGCTTACTATATAATACAGTTCTCACTGTTAATCCATCTGTGGGTCATACTATACACTGATTTATTGCTTGTCTGTTTTTAATAATACAGAAGGTAAAGAGCTTAATAATTAATCGCATATTAAATCGCAATCACAATGTTGGTTAAAAATAAATAAATAAATTGGCAATTAGATTTTCCAAAATCGTTCAGCCCTAGTTTGTATGTATAACTCACCAAAGACAGTGTGCACTTTTTTCTGAGTTTAGTTTTTATTATAATTATTATTATTATAAACCAAAAATATACTCAGTGTTTCCCATACAGTTGTTGGTATTAGTGGGGGGTGGTGTGTGGAACAGGCGCTTATTTGTAAATAAAAATGAAACTGATTAATTGTAATTTTATAGTTTGTGAGTTTATTGCAATAACTCACATGGTTCAGTTGTTTTATTCCATGTTATATAACTGAAACTAAGTGAACATCTGTAATCCATTTGGTTTGCAGGAGAAATAGTTTTCAATTTATTTTTGAGGTACACCCTTCCCATGCCGAATTCTATGGCTGGGATATCTGTGTGGTAGCAGCTACTAGGAGACTAACTGTGCTCATAAGACACTGTGCTGGAGCTGATATATAGTTCCTACTGTTCGGTCCGTGTACATTGCGGCCAACGGATTTTCGTTTTGAAACAAAAAAACAAAAACAAAAAACGGCTCGTTTCCCAATTACCATTAGTAAATAGGGAAACGGGAAACAAACAGTTTTTCGTTTTGATATTAAGAAACGGAAAACGAAAAAAAATCTCGTTATCCGATTGTGTGTTTATAGATGGAGATCGGAAATTCAAATATGAGTGTATAAATCTTAGTCCTCAATTTTGCATTGGTTTTTTTTTGGTGACCCGGAAGCTATGGTAAGCAGTAAGCGGCTTGGGGTGCTATAGCCTATATGCGCGCTTGACAGACTGTGTGCATGCATTTTCCTTCAACATAGAGTGGTCGTATGAGGTCACCGAGGTCCAGACCTCAGTAATTATGTAGGCTATGTATGTATGTATAATAATAAAAGGAATAATAGAAAGATTAAATTGGGAGAAACAATCTTCTGCCATTACATAGGCTAAATAAAATCATTCGAATAAAAACTGATTACATTGATACACGGTCCACTGAGGGTGCAGCTGATTATTAAGCCGCTACCATAATTTCTCCATTGCTCCATTAGTGCCTCTAAATTGTTTTGGATGTAGAATTCTGTTTCCTCTGCAGAGTTTCCTCTGTCTGTCCTGTCAAGTTCATAACAACAGTTTTTAGTTTTGCTGCATAAATGTCCCAAGGATATTTGCTGTGACATTATTGCGCCCATGGAAACGTTTTAAATGACTGACAGCAGCCTCTCTAATCATGAAAGTAAACCGTAAGACAAAACACTAATACATCAACATAATAATGAAATCACCTGGAAAGTTATAAGGGTCGGTAGAGATGGGATAAATCAGAGAAAATCATTAGTTGGGTTGAGTGGATGGATGATTTATGCGTAAATGATTATACAGATATTGTCAGAGCCAGTCCGCATCACACCAATGTAGCTCCTATAATCGTGACAAAACAGTGCAAACAGCTGCTGATGTCAAATTAGTAGGCTGCAATATCAACCAGAGCATTCAGCACTAACCTGATGTATTTTATGTTGTCGTTTAGTAACAATATTGCCCATTATGGAGTCTGTAGCCTACATGTCATTTGCACAGTGTTCCTCCCTGTCAATAAGCACCCCTCTTCCCGCTTGTAATTAAGTAATAGGCTATGTTTCCACCTTGCGATGGCCTGAATTAAAACAACACTGTAAGAATGCACAGGTCAAAGATGCGCTTTTTGTATTCCATCTTCGTAACATTAGATATGCAACTCCAAATCCCTGACTTTGGAGTATGTGCCATAGGCCCACAACCGCTTACTTGGCTGCTTACCATAGCTTCCGGGTCCCGGGAAAAAAAAAACAATGCAAAATTGAGGAATAAGATTTATACACCCGTATTTGAATTTCTGATTTCCATCTATAAACACATTAAAAAATTTTTTTTACTAATGGTAATTGGGAAACGAGTCGTTTTTGTGTTTTTCATTTCAAAACGAAAATCACGGGCCCAGTTCCAGGAAGCCATTGATTTTCTATACAGCATGAAACTATTTATCAGACTCTTGCTTACGTTGTATAATACATCCGAGTGAAAATGTGAGTTTATATGTATAATTTGGCTGTTTATCTATCGTTGTGTCGTAATGCAGTTAAACCACAGACTGATAAGAACAGGTACAATGTACAGTGAGGAAAATAAGTATTTGAACACCCTGCTATTTTGCAAGTTCTCCCACTTAGAAATCATGGAGGGGTCTGAAATTGTCATCGTAGGTGCATGTCCACTGTGAGAGACATAATCTAAAAAAAAAATCAAAGAAATCACAATGTATGTAATGATTTTTTTAACTATTTATTTGTATGATACAGCTGCAAATAAGTATTTGAACACCTGTCTATCAGCTAGAATTCTGACTCTCAAAGACCTGTTAGTCTGCCTTCAAAATGTCCACCTCCACTCCATTTATTATCCTAAATTAGATGCACCTGTTTGAAGTCGTTAGCTGCATAAAGACACCTGTCCACCCCATACAATCAGTAAGAATCCAACTACTAACATGGCCAAGACCAAAGAGCTGTCCAAAGACACTAGAGACAAAATTGTACACCTCCACAAGGCTGGAAAGGGCTACGGGAAATTGCCAAGCAGCTTGGTGAAAAAAGGTCCACTGTTGGAGCAATCATTAGAAAATGGAAGAAGCTAAACATGACTGTCAATCTCCCTCGGACTGGGGCTCCATGCAGATCTCACCTCGTGGGGTCTCAATGATCCTAAGAAAGGTGAGAAGTCAGCCCAGAACTACACGGGAGGAGCTGGTCAATGACCTGAAAAGAACTGGGACCACCGTTTCCAAGGTTACTGTTGGTAATAAACCAAGACGTCATGGTTTGAAATCATGCATGGCACGGAAGGTTCCCCTGCTTAAACCAGCACATGTCAAGGCCCGTCTTCAGTTTGCCAATGACCATTTGGATGATCCAGAGGAGTCATGGGAGAAAGTCATGTGGTCAGATGAGACCAAAATAGAACTCTTTGGTCATAATTCCACTAACCGTGTTTGGAGGAAGAAGAATGATGAGTACCATCCCAAGAACACCATCCCTACTGTGAAGCATGGGGGTGGCAGCATCATGCTTTGGGGGTGTTTTTCTGCACAAGGGACAGGGCGACTGCACTGTATTAAGGAGAGGATGACCGGGGCCATGTATTGCGAGATTTTGGGGAACAACCTCCTTCCCTCAGTTAGGGCATTGAAGATGGGTCGAGGCCGGGTCTCCCAACATGACAATGACCCGAAGCACACAGCCAGGATAACCAAGGAGTGGCTCTGTAAGAAGCATATCAAGGTTCTGGCGTGGCCTAGCCAGTCTCCAGACCTAAACCCAATAGAGAATCTTTGGAGGGAGCTCAAACTCCGTGTTTCTCAGTGACAGCCCAGAAACCTGACTGATCTAGAGAAGATCTGTGTGGAGGAGTGGGCCAAAATCCCTCCTGCAGTGTTTGCAAACCTGGTGAAAAACTACAGGAAACGTTTGACCTCTGTAATTGCAAACAAAGGCTACTGTACCAAATATTAACATTGATTTTCTCAGGTGTTCACATACTTATTTGCAGCTGTATCATACAAATAAATAGTTTAAAAAATCACACATTGTGCTTTCTGGATTTTTTTTTTTTTTTTTAGATTATGTCTCTCACAGTGGACATGCACCTACGATAATTTCAGACCCCTCCATGATTTCTAAGTGGGAGAACTTGCAAAATAGCAGGGTGTTCAAATACTTATTTTCCTCACTATAACTGACAATTTTGCAGACTAGGTGTTCACTGTGATGGACTATGCAACATAAAGTTTCAAGAGTCAAGATAGTTACACCATGTGCTATGATACACCATAGTTGGCACATTTTCATATAGTTCGGCCATAAATACATACCAGTTGATACCTGGAATGCTAGCCAAAATACATTACATTTCTAAAATGTTGTAGTATAATTTGCAGAACGGTTAGAATAAAGGAATTGCATTCATAAAACAGGTGACTGATTTTGCTACAGCTCTCAGCAGAATGGATGAGAAAACTTGAATGTGTCACATGGGTAAGCATTTTCTTAAAGATAAAGGTTTGACAATCTTTTGACAACACTACCCGCTGTTTTGAAGTTACTTCCAGAATTCTCAAAAACTCCCTAACCACATGAATAAAAACATTTTTTGTCTGCTGCACCACAAAAACTTTTCAAACTGCAACTTGATTTAATATCCAGTTAGCCAGAACTATCACATCTCCTTGCACATTTAGTACATCGCAAATAAAAACAGTGTTATAGTGCATGAAAATATACTGTAATGGAAAGAAACAAACGAAAGTTATACAACGTTATCTTGTTGTCGTACAAACTGAGCAAGGACCTATGTCATTTCCTTTTACTATTTTGGTTTAGGAGAGTCGCAACTTGGAAAAGGGGTTAAATCTTTTTTTTATCATGTAACAAACAATTAGTATTTTTTAAAGAGGTCATGTTATGCTTTTCCCTTTCCTTTTTGTGTTAAATCTGTTTTTTGATGCATGTAATATGTTTGAAGACTGAACTGCCTGAAAACTGCTTGATGGTTGTCCAGTCTTTACTTCCATAAACTATCTGCGTCACTATGTAACACACGTCATAATGCTCGCCTAGCGGCTAGTGTGGCACACCCTCAGAAACATTTGTGGAGAAACACACTGAGCTGCAGCACACAGTGACAAGATGTCCGCCCGCTGCCTCCCATCACCACCACCGCTCTTCCTTCCAAACGTTAGATACTCTCCAGGCAGTAAATGGACATAAAGTTGTTACTGTGATGTAGAGACAGTGCACAGTTAACGTTAATCATTTTACGTATGAAAGATAAATTTGTTACAAATGAAAACCACTCTGAAACTCTTGCTGCAGTCTCGGTTATGAAGCGGGTTCGGGAACATGTACAGCTGAACCGAAGCCGTGGTTACCGGCTGAAGCAGCTTTGTATTGGATCACATTACCTTGCTTCTGATTGGCTAGTAGTCTTTAACTGTGCATGTTCAACTCCCAACAAAGAGTAATTAGAAGTGAGATGCTTCACTCCGTAGCTAAAACAAAGCATTCAACACACGCAGCAATAGGCAGTATGGGGAAAAAGAAAAAAAAAAAAAAAAAGGTGTTTTTAGAAAATTAAACTATGTTAACCAATTTCGGTACAACCCCATAATAAAACTAGGAACCTGAAAAGGAGCATAACATGACCACTTTAAAATCTAAAATGGTAAGCATTTTTGAGGATTCAACAAATACCATCACCACAGCATAACAGTTAGTGTTTTTCAAAGATCACCAGGCACTTTGGAAAATTGGATGCTTAGCTCCCTGACTTGACTGTAATGTAATGATAAGCACAAACTGAGGCTAATTGTTCGCAGAGATTAGAAGTTGCACCACCCACTAATCTCTATAGCAGGGGAAACACTCATGGTATAATTGTACAATAATTATCATGTTGTTATATTTGTCACAGCTGGTGTAATGTTTCTTTTTATGTTTTACTATTCAACCATAAAACAAACTCAATGCCGACAACAGACTTCAGAGGGGATTCTTTTGTCATTGTATTATTTAATTTCATTAATATAATATTGCTTTGAAATTTGAAACAGTATCACATTTTCATTGACAAACCATACTCTGTCCACAAACATGGGCAAAGCATTGTATGCTGGTACAGTTTGTTTTTTTTCTCTACATTTTGTTACATTTCTCCTTACCCTTAACAATTCCCGGTTACTATCTCCAATAGACCTGAATCAATAGAAATGTTCATTAATGGTCTATATCATTAATGGTCTACAGTGCTCTAAACATTACAGTACCTACATGACAAGATCAGAAAGTCACATTGAGGCCAGGAAATAGACTTGACCCTTCTGACTGACCTCTCTCGAAACAGGAGTGATACACAGGTCCTGTTTAGTCAGTGGTGTGGGACAACAGGTTGCCTTTCATCTGTGTGTTGGGATTCATATCAGGGGCAGTGGAGGAGCAGGGGGGTATACAGAGTGAGATCTAAATGTCAGAGTAGCGCTGGTTTGGCCCAGCTCGTTGCATAAGGCTTACCTCCCATTTTTCTCTGTCTATCTCTTTCCCACTAACTCAACACAAGCAAACACACTCAGATCGGCTGCTCCCCTTCAACTCACAGCTTGGTATCCGGAAACTTGAACGCTGGGGTGAGCTACACAAGGAAAACATCAATGTTAAAAAGACCAATACATGCACAGCCATATCATGCCACCAAAACTTGCTTTAAATAGCTGCTGCTCATTAAAGTGTAATGCTTTTACATTATGCATCCATACTAAAGCAGGTTGTCTTGGTGACACACAAAATGGAAGATCATACGTGACAAAATGTTGGAGGAATGACGACAATGGAAACATGGAGGAATGCGGATGAGCCGCTGTATTGGTGTGTAACGGAGAGAGGGAACATAATAAGCAAATGGCAGATGAGTGAGAAGAGACGAGACACTGCTACAGTACATACAAAGACTGCTCAGGCCAAGTGCATCAAAGGGTACAAAAAACACAAATAAAAACACTGCCATCATGCATCGTTAAGTGAAAGCTAACAGTTAACAGTCAGAACAGAGTGGCAATGACACAGCCACGGTACCGCACACAGACCAGCTATATCTTAACAGTCAGTCTCCAGACACACTGTCTTCTGGAGAAGAGACAATATCTCACATCTCCTGCAGCACACAGAAACAAGGACAGTGGACAGTGATGTAACAGTAACAGTCCCAAACTCCCATGAGGACAGACAGAAACAAGGCATACAGCACGCACAGTAGGTAGTGCACACATGGGAGAACCCACAGATACGTGTCGACTCTACAACAAGCATTTTTGAGTCACAGTGCAGGAGGGAAATTCTTGTTAAAAAAGAAGGGGGGGGGAGGGCGGTGTCATGTTCTCAGCATAACAAATCCATTCGCATTAATACAACACCAGAGCTACACTTAGATTTGGCTCTTTTAATGTAGTGGAATTAAATCTTTTCACTGCCGTTTATTCTCAAGTGACATACTTTGCATGTGCTGTACCTAATTCTAAATTGGTGTGAAACAGCACGGATACCTATCCATGAAATCGTGATAATAAGATGCTATGTTGGGAAGGGTGCGCCAAATTATGCTCCAGGCTCATTAATATACTCAAAGGAAATCGTGCTGATATTTTTGTTTTGATTACCGAAATTGTATCATGTAGAACAAATGTTAGTACGCCCTATATGCTTGTGTAATTTGTTTTGGTGGTCTTTTCTTTGTTTTGTTGGCCTCTGGTTGTATAGATGTTGGGATCCTTTGTGATACCTTCTTTGTCACTCTCTTCCAAAGTATTTCAGTCAGCCTCCATCTGTCAAAAAGTATCACAAAATGCACTAATGTCCTATTTGCACCGTAAGAAAAGAAAAGGTATTAAAAGGGATAGTGCCATGTTTTAACACAGTGTTAAGTTGTTGTTTTTTTTTAATTGACAAGAGATTTGTAGTCTCTCATTGCTACCATGAATGCTGAGAGACTGCAGACAGGGCAGTACAAGGCCAGAGCAAAGACTCTCATCTAGACAAAACTGTACCATCATAAGAACATCGTCCCAACCAGTCACAGTCACTTTAACACACCAGGAAGTCAGAAGTGTTCTCTTTTTTCAGTCTTTCAGAAGCAGGGGGAGGCGTGCAGTTGTTGGAGGTTGGGGAAAGGTGGGGGCTTTAGTTGATTATAGATAACCAAAATTAAGTAAGGCTGTTGTCCTTGGTAAAGTGTAGGAAGGTTGTCCTTGTGTGTGTGTGTGTGTGTGTGTGTGTGTGTGTGTGTGTGTGTGTGTGTGTTTATATGAGGGTTCAGTTCTTGGTCCGTTTGAGGTCAGACATCAGTGATAGATTCATGACCGATCCATCGTGTTATTATGAGTATTGTACAAATGCGTAGAAAAAAAACTGGTTGTTTGCTGCATGTTGCTGATTAATTGTCCGTCTTGCATCCCATGCTAGCAAAGCAGCCTCCTCATAGTGCCTCACAGTGGTAGATGCCTGGTAAGACAGGACAGGCTAAAGATGGAGAAAGGGAAAAAAAAAAAAATAACTGTCTTGAAGTAAACAATCAAATAATTTAGTAAATAATAAGGGATGTTGAGAAAAAAACTAATAAAGTAATCACACTTATTTTTACATCTAAATCTTCGATCTGGGCAGTGTCAAAAGAGCATGTTAAAGATAAACGTTTTGGGGAAAATGCTCATGAGGTTTCCTGTCAAGAATTAGACAGTTAAGACACTACTGACAGAACTCACACATAAAATAAAATGAAGCTACCACCAGCAGCCGGACAACTAAGGTTATCACAGAGATGGGAAAACTGCTGGCCTGGCTCTATCTGATGGTTAAAACGAAACGAAACGTTCGCTGTTGGTCCGGCAGGCCAAATCATCATCAGACGATAGCTGGGATTGGATTGGTTATGACCAAAGATAACAAATCCACAAACCAGCACTTCTAGAACTAATTAACTTTAAACTTTGTTCGTTTAATCGGTACAAAGACGGTTAAGTGCCGGACTATTTCTTGGTTAAGACCACTTGCCCCGCAACCAGCATACACTAGGAAGAGTTACAGTCACATGCAACCCCACACAAGTTAAATCTTCTATATTTAATCAGTACAAAAACAAAGAGTAAATAATGTGGTTGTAACCCCTTCAGGGCCTTCAGGTATAGCTAGCGTATATACGGATAACAGGTATCCAGACCAAGACTTCCTCTTTCGTGCACTGGTCATTGTTTACAGTCTGATTAGCAATTTTTGAACCCAGCTGACAACAATTTCTTTTCCTAAAAAGATATTTTTGGGGGCGTTTTTTGGCTTCATTTTAGATGGAATAGTAGGAAATAAGGGAAAGAGGCGACTACTTGTAGCAAAGTACCGCAGACTGGATTCGAACCCGTGGCAGTGCAATAACAACTCAGCCTTGTACATGGGGCACGCACACTACCAAGTGAGCTAGTCATGATGACAAATGCAGATGAATTGAAAGCTAAGAAAACGCTAACCTCTACGGTTAGCTAAATCAGATGACAGCCAATGGGTTTCAACATTGCATTTCAGCCAATGCATTCCAACTCTTTTGCTCTCCACAGTGTCAAAATCTTGTCTCTTGCCTACAGATTCTGCATTTGCATGCAGATATCTGTTATTCTAGCTATATCTGAGATCTAGCAAGCCCCTGTTGCCAGTCTTTATGCTAGGCTAAATTAGCCATCTGCTGATTGTAGCTTCAAATTTACTTCACAGATGCGATAGTGGTATCGATATTCTCATCTAGCTCTCGGCAAGAAAGCAACTATGCATATTTCCCAAAATGTTGAACATCTCCTTTAATAGTTTAACACACTGGCCCCTTTGGTATTACACACAACTTGGTAGTTTACTCAATACTCCAAACTTAATATTTCATAAATTTAAAAAAAATTGTCATTACATCAAGCCAATGTGGGGTCTAGAAACAGTATAAAAATAAAAAATGAACATGCTTGTTTTGCCTGTGGGGAATCAATTTTTTAAATGGCCAGAAAGAGCAAGAATAATAAAGATGCAACCTCTGGGAGCTATCGGGGATTTGGAGGCAGATGCAAGCTGTCAGGAGGAGGAGGATGAGGAGGAAGAGGCAGTTTGGTTGAGAGAGCATGGCCACTGTATAATGACATCAATCCAGAATCGTCCGTTCCAGGCCTCCGCCATTGGCTGCACCAGCAACAGGCGAGGGAGGCTGCCAGGGGTGTTGGGGAGGCACGGGAGAGCCGCGGGAGTGTTTTTTCATGGCGGGTAAAGAGGTTGGTGTGGGTCGCTGGGCAGGGCAAAGGAGGGTGCAGGAGTAGGCAGCCCTGAGGGATGCTATACCATCACAGTGAGAAGGCACGGGGCTCGCATGTATGTGTGTGTGTGTGTGTGTAGATAAATAATGAACTGGATACAGGAGGGGGAGGAAAGTACGAGAGGGTGCAAAGGGGCGGCTGTGGGGATCCGGCCTCAGAATATGGTGGTCTCGTACTTGGTGCTGACAGGGCGCCTGTTGGAGTCCCGCTGGTCCAAGAGCCAGGTGGTGCTGCCCAGGGAGTGCATGTCTGCGTCCATCTCCAGGGGGTCGATCTGCCGGGGGGGAAGGAGGGAGGAGGGACGAGAGGAGGGCGTGAGACGGGCGGCAGTGGAGGCCATTGCGCCACACTGACAAGACCTCAGCTCACACACGTGCATGTGGATTAGAGGTACAGTCCAGTGATCATGTTATAATCATGGACACTCAGGGCTCAATCCACAACATGGATGATGTCTGACAGAAAACACACTCAGCCTCTGTAAGCCGCAGCAGCAAACCAAAGCTACGACCCACTGGGAGTTAAAACATTTTCTGATTAGTAGTTCAAAAGCAACAAGTGCTCTACACCAGTGGCTCACACAAACACGAGCACTACTGTCATAATATAAGCAGTCAAAACACACAATATGCTGATTAATACTGATTTACATGGAAATGGATTAAAAAATCTCAAGATAGGCATTTGAAATTTTAAAATTCCCTGTGCATGAATAACATCGTCAGTTCAACGTTAAAGACATCAAAGTTAAAAAGATAGATACACAAAGAAAATGAGAAAGGGAGCTTAAAACCATCCAACAGAGACAACTTCCACCATCTTGTTTACAAACCCTCACTGGCGCAATTAAGCCAACAGTCCTTAAATCACATCAAGAAACGCTCTCCTCTCTGAATGTGTTTTAACCACAGAACGTGAACTAATTGCATCTTTACCTCTGAAATGTAAGATGAAGATGAGAGATGGCAAAGTAAAGGGATGAGGAGAACGTTTATGGTTGAAATATTAAGAACCACAAAACGAGGAGACAAAGTGCACTGCGGCACCCCAACAACAACAGAAAGAAGGAGGGGAGGGATTGGTGTGTACTCAGATGTGTGGTGATTACAGGTTGAATAGAGGAAAGGAAAGAGAAGGACCTGGACTCCAGGGCTAACAGAGTGCAACGGGAGGAAGGAAGGACGGTGGGTAGTACACTTGTGACAGTGACAGCAGCGGCATTCGAGTAGAGGGGCACCCTAGGAAGCAGGAGGACCAAGAAGACAAGAACAAAGACATGTTAAAGAAAACGAATAGAAGAGAGGGACAGAGCATTTAAATGTACCGAACGGACAATGAAGAAATACGGCAGCAGTCGGAGCAGTTCATCGCCTGCTAAAGAAGGCAGGATTGTACTTCTTCTGTTCTGGCAGTTGACGCTAAAACCCTAGTGTGGTTGTCCAGTCATAGCTTAGCAGCCATAACTAGGCATGGCAGGTGTGGATTTCTACACGTTATAGCAGTGTGCACAGGAGCTGTAGTAAGGATGGGGAATTGAATGGTGGTGTCTTTTTTTTAGCCTTTCAAAACTACAAGAGCAAACTGTGAGGAATGTATTAAATAGTGTGTTTATCTTCTCTAATGAAAGCTGAAAACGTTGCACGCTGGGCTACAGTAGCATTGGTGTCATTTACACTGGGGACACTTTTTGAAATGGCTGATTTTATCCCCATCACTTTTTGAAAGCACTTGTTAAAAATGTTCTGAAAATAGCTTGCAACAAGAATTGTTTCTAAAAAACTAAAATACTTTATTTGCACAATAAGAAAACATGGAATGCAGTTTTAATATAGAAGAAACAAATGTGCATTGTCCAAAAAAAGTAATCGAAAGATAAAAATAATAATAATCAAGCCACTAATTACTGCATTATATTATATTTTTATATTTTAAATTTTATTATATTTTCAAAATAGTCTTAAAATATCCTTTCCTCTTGTTCTCATGAACCCAAGATAGTGCATTGTCACTTCTTGTGAGCTAAGTGTATCATAACACCCCCTAAAACCATCCGGCATTGGAAGGAGTCAATGTGCTACTGTATAAGTAACTGTCTAATGTATATGACAGCATGTGTTGTGTTGCATGAGAATATGTGTTCAAAGATGCTTTATTTCTGTATTTTGTGTTGTCTTGTAAAGCTGCAGAATGGACAGATTCCAAAACAAATTTCCCTTCGGGGACAATAAAGTATCTCTTATCTTATAACCACTTTTCAACACAAAGTGACACCCTTGTACAGAAGTAACCCAGTGTAACCCAAGTCCACGGAGTACAATTAATAGCTAACTGCTTACAGGTTTACAGGTTATGTTTAAAAAGGGAAAGCTAGTCCTAGTGGAAGCTAGTCTGGATGCTACAGAATGTATGTTAACTTTAGCGGCTCGGTCCTTTTTAGTGGGCTTAGGGAGTGTGCTCCAGCAACCCCAGTCAAAGTTCTGAGATTTTTGAGCATTAAGTTTGTCAAACACTTTGGTTAGTCCTCATTATGACAGCTATTTCTTTTGTAACATTAAAAGTGAAAGCACCGTTTGAAAACTAGTCTTTTGGACTTTATTGTCCCCAAGGGGGAATTCATACAATGACACACAACAGGACACTCTCAGGCCAGGTATGTCAGCTAAGCAGCCAAACAGGATTATGTAAATAACAGTCTGCTCTTACTGTATACTTTACTAACTAGCTTTACACTGCAATACAACAACGCTGCTTCTTTATTTCCATGTCTTCAACATGGATCATAAAATGGCGACGATGCTGACTTTTTGACTGAAACAAGCAGCCTTAGCCTCTGCCTTTCAGCACAATATAATGTATGCAGCCATCAAGTGCATATTCAAGACCCCTTTACAGTAATTTTATTTTAACACATTAATATGTCAGCCAGAACCAGTATTTTCAACAAACTCATGGAGCTAACACTTGCTTAATTAGCTAGCAACAGCTAATGAAATCCGCAAGCGAGTCTTTTCAGTTGGAAAAATCGACAGCTAGAAATACTGTCTGAAATCAAGAACCCATTTTTTCAAATAGTGTGGAAATCTGTCACCATTATCACTGTAAACTGCGGAAAGCTTCACAGGCATTGCAACAGTAACTAAGAGGAGCAGGGGTCTAAGCAAATGGTTAATCTCTCCTTGGGGAAAATTTTCTAAATGAATGGCTGTCACAGTTTCTGTTTAAACCAACTAGATTTAGTAGCATTCACACACAGCAATAAAAAGCATTAAAACAGACTGCAGCAGATAGGAATCTCATTCTCCTTTAAAACTTAAACAACCAGCCAGACTCATTATGCAGCTCTGTGATTACTCCATATATTATCCTTACAGGCAGGTAGTAAAACAAAGTGATGTGTGTCTCTGCATAAGCGTGTGGTCTAGCAGTGAGCGTGCTCCTGGCTGTGCAGCTCTCTCAGGTGACAGTGATCACTGAGTGCTCATTATATGCAGCCTGAGAGGTCAATGCATCAATGCGTAGCTCGGGGTATACGTGGACATTTATGCAACACACTCAATCAATAGTGAGGAAGCAGCGGATGGGTCCAACCTAAAGGGCTGAGCCCTCAGAAAAGTCCCAGAGGAAATCATATGCTCGCCTGTAAGCACCAAATAAAACTTCATTTGTCATGTTTCACATATGCACAAAAAGAACATCTCCCCTGATCTTGAGTCACTCCGACTTGGGGTGTGGGGGCGAAATGAAATTGGTAGCAAAGTAATGACTCATCACTTTCTACCACACACACAGCAAATCTTCCTTTTTCGGTGGCCCATTGGGGATTCAGTGCCGGAGAAAAGTCGGTCACGAGGTCTGCGTACCTTTTATGAATTATGATTACACAACGCTGTGTTTCAGCTCTCCCTCTTTCAACAAGTAGAGCAAATTCAATATTCACAGGCACACACATTCAACATGTTTTGTGAGGGGTTTGTAGGGTGGTACTCACTGCTGATCTCCGCACGCTGCTCCACGACTGAGATACAGGTCGGCTGGTTTTGGTCTCTATGACCTCTGAGCCCAGAGATGTAGGTGGGACATAGTGTCTTGCCCTGGACTGAATTGCCATCTGATAGGCCACCTCAAATGCCTGTCCCAGTGTTAGGATGATCTCGTAGGTCTGTGTCTGTGTGAATGAAAAAAAAAAAGTGTTTGCTACAAGTCTTTTCAGTTTGTGCTATCATACACAAAGCAACTTCTTCACAGTGGTTGTCTTTTGGTTTTACAATTGATTTAATCTGAATTCACATGAACTTTAAAGAGATAATTGGCCTTTTGCTTGTGTGCATGACAAACCATTTAATTTCCCTAAAGACCTTTAGTAAAAGCCCAACGCTTTCACAAACATTTGGTATCAGCTCTTTTGAACAATTCAAGCAAGTAGCTTGGATGATCAAAATCTACTGTAAGTATAATTGTTAATGACTTCTATTTCAACATTTATTTAGAATTACTTGTTATTTTATTGGGTTTGTAAATGCTTGTTTTCAATTTGTTGTGCATCACACAAAAATCCTTGCATAGCACACAAAAGCGCTGCTCTCCACGTCGTTAGGATAATTACTTTGTGAAATGATCTGCTTTCTCCTGTTTGAATATCATGCACATTTTCAGAGAAAAGCCAAAGCACCAGACATTGAACACATTGAGCAGTTGTGTTGAATACAAATAGGTGAAGCTCAAAATTGTGTTTTGGCCTTCGATCATTTAAAATCAGTTAAAACTGTTTCCCTGCAGTTAACTAACAGTTATCCACAGTGGTCCATCTGCCAAAGATAAAAGATAGTACTCGACCTTTACAGAAGCTGAGACACAAATTATGACATAATCTATGCCTGTACATGGAAATGCCATGCACAGCAGGAGTGGAACTTCAATCAAGCCTTTCGATGAGCCAATCAAGGAAATAATGTCCACAGGATGCTGCATGCTGTTTTAACTGCAGGATACCCAACATCCCACAAAGGACACTTTGTTTTTTGTAAATTTACAAAAAGCTCAAGAATTATATGACGTACTACCATGAGAAACCTCTTATAATGATCACGTCACGGTGCAATTGATCACTACAAGCAGATGATTATTATAACTGATTTGTTTTTTATTTCTCATGCAGATTACCATCTAATTGACATTTTTATATTTATGACATGAATATAAAGTAATGAAACTGACAGCTTTGTTATTTACTGAATGTTACTTTTTCAAAATGCAGTACAGCTGTTTCACGCTTTTGAAATGACTGTACAAATTAAATTACTGTACTGTGTATCATTCAAATAAAAATTAAAATAAAAAAGCTCACAGTAGTTCAAATTATAATTAGGCTATGGCCTAAAACAGTACTGTGCTGTTTATATATACAGTGACGTCAGTAGTGAAAATAGGCTACTGAGCTACAGCTTGGCGGTGGTTTCAGTGCATTTAAAACATTTTTACAGGCCTGAAAATAAAACTTTATGGTATCAGGGCCAAATCTGTAGCAGAGTTTGAAAACTAACTAACTAACATATCCCTCATATGTTGTCATGTATGAAAAGATCCAAAATTAACACTGTAAGCGGAATACTTGACTACTAAAAGCAAATTATTTAAACAGTGTTTGAATAAGATTCTGTCAACACAAAAGGGGCTGTTCACACTGACTGTGATCACCATAAGCGGTTTCCACTGTATCACACTTAAACTATATGCTTATTTTTTTGAGCTACAGTCATATTTCTGTACATGTTCGGAACAAAACACTGAACACAAGACTAGTTTGTTCAGATATTTCTTACTTTAACAGGACAGAGTTGTATTACTTACCACTTCCACAGTGCTGAAGACATGGCAGAAGTGGTGGCCACTCTTCAGATCCTTGGTAATATAAGCAAAAGTGCACAGTTCATCTGGGTCCTGAGCGGCGCACGAGATGTTCCTGATCTCATGCTCCGCAACTATAGTCTAATGGAGAAGAAAGGATGTGAGTGCTAACTGGAAATCAACCACTAAAGGAGGCTGAGAGAGTCAATTGCAATGTTTGCGTTGGACAGATCAATATACAGAGACACACGAACCCATTACCTTTGTGGCTGCATCAATAAACTTGACTCCTCTATAGGTAATGGACAGTATGACAACTGGACCCTTTCTTGAATCTTTTGATTTCTGCAGTGGGCACAGTAAAAAGAGTGACAGACAAGTACATATAGTACAACAAAACACAATGTGCACTACAAATGTGATAACAGAAATATAATGTATTTGGATGAGTGGGAAAAGTAATTATATTATATTATATATAGTTATTCATGTCTGACACTTTCAGCATTTATTTGCTGGATTTGTTCATTTTTATAATCAATGAAACACTTTTCAGTTCTTCTTCAAAAAAGGTCAGTGCAAATGAAATTGTAAGTAAAAAAAACATTTTTGAAGCTTTTTAGTAATACGTACCCTAATTTTAGCACAGGCATCTTGTGTGGACTCAATTCCTCGTAGATCCCTGATTATCATTGACCCTAGGTACTAGGAGAAAGAATCAAAACACACCAGGGTTGGATCAATTCAACACTGGTGCTGACCCGCTACATGTCAGCTACACAAGAGAGATGCAATAAATTCAATTAAATATCCAAGTCAGTCTCTTTTAAACAGTCTGCATGGCGGCTTCCATGTGACTTACAGTGGCCTCGTAGCCGCAGGAGTCCAGGATGAGTTTCTCAGGCTGGTGATGCCAGGCGGACACCGTGGCATAGGTAGCAGACTGGCTCGGTGGCCGGAGGTTTAAACGAGAGTCTTTATGTCGTTCGCTCTGTCTGTCCTGAATGGTGAATGCAACAAAAAGAGGAAACACAGCTAACATTTGTGACAGAGCAAATTAAATACTTGTACAAAGGCAGTGGAACGTTGTAAGTGTCAGGATACTTTTCTTTACATACACCAAAAGAGAGAGCCTGTAACCTGAAGTACAATTTGTGTCTCAGCCAAGGTGGTGAAGTAAAATATTTCAGACTGCTGTACATTAGAGTGAAGGCAACAGAAGTCTGCTTGGTCAGCACTTTAATATAAGTCCTTTTTGAACGGCTGGTATGCTCATAAATATTCATGCGCTAGGTTAGGCCTTTAGGTCAATGTGGGCTGCTCAGCTTTTTCATAAATCTCTTCTGAGAGTAATATTTACAACTAACATTAATTCACTAAGCATTTAGGAAAATGATAAGTATTGATTTTACATATGATGAATCCTGAGTAGTGTAGTCGTGCTACATTACCCTTATTTTTGGACGCTCCTCTGTGTTTTCTCTTTGGCCTCAGTGAGTCAGAAACCAGGCATGCCATCTTGACTCTATGTGTCATATTTGACCTTTAGCAAATGGTACAATTTGATCACTGAGTTATTCTTAGTTTATCTTCTTAAAGAGGAACCCAAGCACCAATTCATTTCAATGAATGAAGATTCGACTTGTAGTTATTCAAATATTTCTAAAACTCAGAGCTGGCCTGGAGACAAATGATTTTACTGGGCGAGTTAAAATACACTGGATGGAGCAAAAGATCACAGTGCTTCTAGTAAAAGTTTGCTAACTGGTAAACTTGAAGTTGCTTTTCAAAGCATTCATGATGGGGATCTAGCATGCTACAGTAGCTAAGATGATTACTTGAACTGCTGTAATATGGCTGATTTGAATAATGGAAGGTAATGGAGGGCAATTATTCAATACTGTCGTGTTTTAACTTTCAGTCAAATCACTTTCATCCAAATGAATGGTTCTATGAACGCTTTCGCGATCTGTGGTTGCAAGCCGCCTACTGTCTCAATGTTCCTGCTCGACACCTGCTGATATAATTATTATTATTAGTCCTATCTTTATTAATACTATTGCTATTACTATTAGTACTAATGTCGATTTTCATTGATATCTACCACTACCGCCATTACTATTGTTTTACATCTCATCTAGAGTGCATCCGATACATGAATAAATAGTCCGATTTTAGTTTTGCGTGAGTTTTGTCTGATATAATTCAGAACTTTAGGACAGTTCATTGCACTGAACATCAGCTTATTTTTTAAATATATGATATGCATTCATTTTCCATTAGTGGTATATATAAATTTTGGAACAACAGCCTATATTTTGACAACCCCATTTATATAAATGAAGGTAGGCAAAATAACAGGTATGCCTCTCTGTATAACGCAATACAGTTCAACATCACCACAAAACTATATCCTCCAAAATGATCATAAAATTAAATCAAGACCTCTCTAAACAGTGTATATATGTTGTCACATTACTGCAGTTTTCCTCAGTTACTGTCTAGTACAGTCTGGTTCTTTGGGTCTGCCCACTAAGATTTAATAATAATAATAATAATAATAATAAAAAAAACTTTAGTTATAGAGCACTTATCAAAACAAAGTATAAATTTTGTCACGTAGACACAGAAGAAAAACTTAATAAAATACCACAGTTAATGATAAGATACATGAAGTGCAAAATAAATAAAATGAGAATAAAAATAAGCAGGCAGCTCAGATAAAATCAGGATATGCTTTTGGATAATAGCGTGTAATTTAACTCAACCAGGAAGTTTAGTTTTGTACCCACAACAGTGCTGCCTCTGAGATTTATGACAACAACTCCAGCAACAGGTGACAAGACACCCTGAGACACCCTAACTTTGTACAGCAACCATTATTCTGCTAGTCGCTCGCTGAAAGTAAGTTTGGTGGTTTCCCAGAAGATGATAACAATGAAGAAAGGTGGAACTCACTACAGAGCGCGGCCTCTCACTATAGGAACGCAGGGACACACTACAGTCTTGGTCAACTCCTCTCCGCCTCCTGTCCGGCTCAGTCAAAGGCAAGAGCATGTCCATGGAGCGACTGGTGTAGGGGTCCATCTGACTGAGGGGAGATGTGGTCTGGGACAGGAGGTCATGGAACTGCCATACACACACCACACAAACAGACAAAAGAGTACAAACATACCACACACACAGCACAGATTAATGATTTGACAGCAAAGTCTACATGGGCTGGTTTCCATGATCTACATCCAAGCTTAATCCTCAACAAAAGAGCCTCTTCCATGGAGATTCTCAATTCTTTTTTAGCCCAGTTTAATCTGCCTGGGAAATCAGCCCCGAGTATTTAACTGTTGTGAACATAATGATATTGAAGAATCTCATTCCAAAATTAGATTTCCACTGCTGAAAAAAAGGGAGCCATTTCTCACGAAATGATGTTGGCATAGAAATAAAGCCATGAAACGTTGTTTAACTTCCATCTTGAGCTCTGTTTTGATTGTATTGAAATACCAAGCTCTAAAACATAAAATAAAATAACAAATGTGAACCCATTTGAAATTTTAAATCACTGACAGTAAATACAGGTTATAATGCGGGCATATGCAGAACTACCCTTTTAATAGGGCATATTGAGCATACCCTATCTATTAGCCAAATTAACGTTGACAGAATGTCTTGGTGCTGTAAGGTGCTTTAGATAAAAACATCTTTCTTGGACTGCGCTGTCTTTTTGTGGAATCAGTGTCACCTAACGAAGAGCTAGTAATGACGACCCCTTCAATACTGTAAATGTGAAGTGGATCAGTTTCTACACTTACCATAATAGGGGACAGACGACGAGACTTGGATGGAGCCTCTTCATAGGGTCTCTCTGCTAGAGAGGCAATGATTCTCTTCCTGTGGCCCAGGGGACCAATCTTAATAACCTGGAGAGGGCAGCATTAGAGCACAAAATAAGGCATACTTTCGTGTGCACTATCACATTAATATCTCATACGCAAAAATTTATCCAGACTAAGCTAATAGAGATATATCCAAAATACACTGACAGAGTTGGTGGCATGCACCCCTCACTGGCAGCCATCCACAGGCAAACAGAAATGACTCTCGTCAATAATTCAGCCTCAATCTGTTTTGCCATAAGCTTAAAGTACAGCACTGTCTCCTTCCTGGGACACTCTATAATTCACGATGCATTTTTGGACATAGTGCTTAAGTAACAGAGAAGAATTTGGAGATTTATGATACGATAACAGGTAATGTACAAAAAAAAAGTGATTTTCAAATAACTGTATTGCATAGATCCACTTCATTTGTCACAATTTAAATATGTTTTTAATCTACAGTATTGTAACACTGGAGGTTCACCTGACAAATGTCTATCCACGGTATCTTTGTCTCTTTAAACCTTTTACTTATCAGCTTGTGTGGCTAAAACCCTCAGAGGAGGAAGCATAGGTTAATTTTATATAGTCAAAACTCATTATCTTAACACTGTATATTTGCATAATTGGCTATTAACATTCATGCTCATCCACTACAGGTGGATGTCAGGTGATTAATGTTACATTTGCAATTATGTCGCTGATACAAATATTCCATAAAAGGCTCATATGGTTCACTGTCTGAAGGCTTCAATAATTTATTCTGTGAGAGTCAGAGGCAGAAGAGGCAACTCGTCCATCCTCTGGATTTCTTGTACTGTTTTCATTATTCTCATGAACAGAACCCCGGTGAGACAAAATGAACGAGGTGTTTGAAATAAGAGTATATTTAAATAGTAATAAAGAACGATGGGATTATATGGGAACGTAAACCAGCTCATTGATCAAATTGATGGTTGATAAAATTTGGTGTAAGATGCTGAAGAGGATGTAGGAAATGTAATGAGCAAAGAAAGTCCTGCCAAAATGCTCAGAGCCAGTTCTGCTGCTCTGCACACACTGAAAGTAATGTGCCCTGTTCTCACACCCATCTTTCTGTACTGCATCGCAGTCTGCTGGACACCATCCCTCACACACTGCATATTATATATATACACACACACACACACACACACACACACACACACACACACACACACACACATACATTTATTTATTATGTCTGGCTGCTACTTTCCTGCTGCTGCAGCTGTTGCTGGTTTCTGCCATTTTGCCACCGCTGTCTTTGTGTTTATCACAACCAAACACACATAGAAAGGCAGTGATAAGTGAGAAAAATATGATCGCTGTAATGTGCTCATCCACTGCTCCTGCACTGTCTTCTGTGACAGCTTATCAACCATATCAGATCATCTGTTTGGATTCTCTGGTTGCCTGTCGTAACATAAGCAATGTTGATGTCTACATGACACAATAAATTAAAGATTAGAGAAAAGTCAAGACAAAGTCATTTTGTAGCAGCACGTGTTTTCTTCCCTTTCCTGTTCTGTTAATCATCTTGCACACTGCAGATTTAACTTAGGAACCCATGGGGAAACTACTGCTGTAGCAGTGCTGCAAATAAGCTCAACTACACTGGTACGTGCATTCCTCTATTTCCCCCACAGCTTTTACCCCAAACGAAATGAGTGCTATAATTACAAATTATGACAAAATGTTACACTATTTCCATAAAAGATTAAACCAATTTATATACTTCCCTGTCATCAGTCACCATATTGCTCATTAATTTACATTTTATCTGTTAGTTATTTACTAATAGTTTTATGCAAATGTTTCCATCATCGAGCACTCTCTGTTATTTCAGCACTGCCTTGTAAAGTGTTCCTTAACCTCAAACAGGATCCATAAATCAAGGTAGCCTTGTGAATAAGGAGACCATTCTGTAAGAACCGGTTCAGAATATCTCAAGATGTGATTTCATAGACAATAATGGGTCTATGGGCCAAAATCTAAATTCTACTGGATAATTGTAACAGATGGCTTCTTACATTGACAATCTCCAGCTCCCACAGGTTCTTAACACACTCCAGTGTGCGGTAGCCACTAGAAAGAAAGTTGGGTAGATATTCATGCAGGCCGAGGCCATCCAGCCAGGATGCAAGAGATGTGCTGCCATCACAGCCCAGTGCTTTAACCTACAGTGAAGGAAAGACACATGTAAGAGAGCAAGTGTTTAAACTTTTTGTTCTGAGAAAAGGACTTCAAAGAATGTACAGTATATATTTTTGTTTTTCACTTGTGGCTACAATTCTGCCTCTGGTCATCAGACAGAAATGTCAGTCAGAGGTCTGAAACCTACTGACTTTGGTGATCACCTGACTAGTGCTTTTCATCAAGTTGATGTATTGGTAATTTGAGCAATATGTTGACAACCACTGGATGGATTTCTGCAAAATTTTCTGAAATTTATATTTATTTTAATATATCAAATATATAATGACATTGTGTTGCAAATGTTAGCATGCTAACAGGCTAACTTAAGATGGTGAACATGGCAAACATTATACCTGCATCATAACATCAGCATGTTGGCACTGTAATTGTGAGTATGTTAGCATGTTGATGTTAGCATTTAGCTCAAAGCACTGCTGTGCATGAGTACATCACACCGTATAAAAGTGTATAAAAGATGTGGATGTAGCCACTGTGACATCACCCATTGTTTTGTGGGCTACCGTTTTGAAGCCTCAAGTTTGTCATATTGGCCATCTTGTTTTTTTGGAACCACAAGTAATCATATTTGGACGAGAAGGTGGAGCTAATTAGATTAGTAAGGTGCATCTGCATTTCACGTTAAAGGTTCAGTGTGTAATATTTCTGAGGATTTATTGACGGAAATGCAATATAATATCCATAACTATGTTTTCAGTGGTGTATAAAGACCTTACATAATGAACCATTATGTTTTTGTTACCTTAGAATGATCCATTTATATCTACATAACCGTGGGCACCCCAACCTATGGAGGTTGCAGTATTGTGTCATCATGTTTCTACAATAGCCGACAACGGACAAACAGCGCTACAGAGCGCGTTTCGCCATCACAGTGTTCTTCTTCTGCTTGTATAATTCCGGCAGTATTAGAAGCCCGTCACTACATTAAATGTGTCAGTAGAAGAAGAGAAAATAATAATAATAATAATAATAATAATAATAAACAGTCTCTGAGTAGTCCTCTGGTTTATTAGAAGTAAGAAGAGAAGTGACATTTGGACAAATGAACGAGCAACACATTATTACACATTATTTAGCACAAGAGCCAACAGCCTGTGGATCTTTATATCATGAAGCCAGAGGAGTCGGGACAGATGCAGACAGATGATGGCAAAAAATCACGGACATAATTGGTGTGGATTTTCCCAGATGGAAGGCTTTGATGTGGGAAAGATGTTTTCAAAGCGGAGCTGAAGTTGTCTGTGTGTCTGGACAGGTAATGAAGTTAGTCGGACTTTAGCGATGCAAATGAAAGCTGTTGTTTGATAGCTTTAGCTAGAAGCTGGCCATAATCAGACAGACCTGCCGTGTTTCTCCTGTCCACTTCTGTAAAATATGTAGTTGGATTAATTTCATGTAGTGACTCTCTCTCTCCAGGGCTCTGTTTTGGCTTTATCTGAGACAATCAGCTGATCACTAATTGGCAACAAAATGGTAGCTTCCAGCATGAAAGCTAAACTTTTACTGCCCTGGTAGAAAAAAAAATGTTGTTGGGTTGTAATTTAATGTAGTTATTCTCCAGCTTTGCAACGTGGACAGAAATGTGCCCTTACCTTCCTGAGACAAACCGCTGATGAATATTATTGGCAATAAAACGGTAACAGCATGGAAGCTCAGATCAGCCACTAAAATTCTGTTGAATACTGCCCTGGTGGAAACATGTATTTATTTTACTGCTAATAGTGACACATAACATGACCGTATGCCGATCAAGTGACAAATAATGAATACTTTCCAAATTTGCATTAAATTTTTTGGGATAGTGCTTTGCTACTGTGCACACAATTGTGTAATTTGTACTTTCACATGCTAAATGCCCATTAAAACGTTGCACCATTTTACCACAATTTGAAAATATGGCTGTCAGTACTACTTTGTGTTTCTGTTGTATTTCAAAAAATTTAAAAAGATATTTTGGTAAGCAGATTGCTTATCTAATTATTTAAGCAAAGCCAGAGGCGCTTTGATCCTCACCAGCCAATGCCTTTGTAAATGTATTATGTGGTTTATAATGGGCTGTGGTACAGAAACAGTGAGGCTTACATTTTCCTGGTATCTGTCAGTGGTCATACTTGATGCACTAGATGTGATACACAATAACATTTGGTTTTACTGAATAATCAAGTAAACATAATTTCTTAATATATCAATGTAAAGAAACCTGATTTCTTGACTGGCAACTCTCTGCTATCTCACAGAGGACATCTTTGTCCTGTCTCAGGCACCATAGCGATACAGTTCGCTTGTATAGGGGAGGGGGGTACTTAACAGAAAAAATTAACATCCAGGTGTCTTTAGTAAAACCAAATGCTGAACAAGAGGCAACCAAAATGTTACACTTTCATGAACTGAAAACACACTGTGAAAAGAGTTAAAGCTCTTACTCGAAAACACAGACAGCACCCAAAACTTGGTACGGTGGATACATGTCACCCCTACCCTGATAAACAGGTCGCGCGGTAGCAACTTGTCACAAGGCATCCACACCCTATAGCTATAGCTAACTATAAATAGGACCATCATTTTCTGAATGAACATCATGATGTATTGAAGAAGACTTGAATCTACCAATTGAGACCATAAACTCCATAAATAAAGTGTTTACTGAGGTAATAAATCAAGTGGGAAGTAGGGACATTTTGTCATTGACTCCAAAGCAATCTGACATCTTTTTGCAATACATAGTTCCAAAATAATGTTATTATCTTCAAAACAGTAAATTTCGCTTGTTTTCCCCTCAGTCTATAGTATCTGTGGTCAAACAATGTTTTCCTATTTACTGTTATGTATTGGAAGGTTGGTTCTTCAGCTCTGATGAACCACTGTTCAGGTAACCAGCGTGGCATTTGTATCAATCCATAATTACAAAACGTTTTTTATCCTGTTACTGTATTTTTTTTCACTTATCTACTATTTTTATAAACATACAGATATTTTGACCTTTTTTCTGAGACAATGTCAGTCAGTGTACTCTTCAGTGCAGAGGTTAAGTTATGAATTTAAGTACCTTGGGCAAGCTGCGTGCCGCATGGAGGATTTTCTTTCTGTGTCCTGGGTCAGTGATCCCAATGTCTCTGAGATCCTGGTCCTCCATCACGTTACTTCCCTACATGTGCAGAAACGTAAGAGACACACACAAATAAACACATTCACACACAGGCACACACACAGCCATACTCATACACACATGCAAACACATAAGCACATACAAGCAAGCACATACACATGCATAGACAATACACAATATAGACATACGATAGTACAACACATGTAAATAAATCAGTAAGCCATTATACTGTATATTAGTGCAATATTTTGCAGACACACACACCCACACACACAAAGGCATAAAAGACACTATACTGACATAAGACAAATAGCTTTATAACAGCATAGGTCAATAATAGTGTCATGACTTGTTCTACACTGTAACTACGAGGACAAATGCACACACACGCAGAATATGCTCATCTCTGACACAAGCAGTAACAGCAGAGTGGGAGGACAATGAAGTCAAATAAATTGTGCATGCCAAGAGTAATCAATCTGATGTGGTGCGACTCAGAGGGAACAAAGCCTTCAAAACTGCAGCAGCATCTACAGGATCTCTTTGCTTGTTTCATTGAGGGAAACTAAATAGCCCAACAGGAAACAAGAATACTTCAGTTTGTAACAGTTACTTAATTTAGGGCACAGAAACAATGAACAGTAATTGTTTTCCACCTCCTGAGATCTTGACTGACGAGCAGATTCTTGTCTATTCCATGTAGCTGTTCATATTTGCAGCTCCAGCTGCTTTGTCATCTTATTCTGGTTTATAGGCAGGAATAAAGATACAGGGAGAACCTTAAAAATGTGGAGCTAAGCGTTTTTCCCTGTGGACTGCTGCAGATTGATTTTTCCCGGCCAAGAATGTTAAAATGTTCTGTAGTCTTTGCTCAATCGGCTCTTACTGGATTGGTTTCAGAGCACAATGCAGCAGCATTCACAGGCCTGTATCAGGGTGCAGTTTGGAGATTACTCACTGATCGCTAGAATAAAGGTCAAAATTAAGCAGGGTCTGATGTAAGGGAGGCCCAAAATAGATTCTCCACTTTTATTAACACAGTTTGAAGTTTGACGATGCCTCGGGAGACTTGGCAAACTTATTATTTCATGCTGCATTTGAAACATGTGACAGGAATGTATGGTTCAGTTCTTACATAGCTTATGAGTTATGGTAGTTTGATTTAATCTGATGCGACTTGCAGATGTAGCCATGGTAGAAGTCCTTCATCTCACTAAATGCACTCACTTAATGCAACAGCTCTATTGCTCTGCACCACAGAGGAATTGTTAATAAAATTCTAATTTTGTTACTTTACAGTCAGCAAGGGCGTAACAATAATCTGGCAAGGAAAGAAGACTTCATTTATGTATTACAATATGTATGTTCAGTTCTACATTATAACGATTGAGAAAGAGGGGGCTGCAGAGTCTGATGCAATATTAATGCTGGAAAGATGCAATGTAAATGCATGATGGGGAACTTCTAAGATGTTTTGCACTAGACAATTTGCCTCACTGCCACATTAGTTTGGAATCAGAGCAACAAACTATATTGCTATAAAAAAAAAATTATGTCGAACTCTTTGACTGACAATAAATCCAACAAATGTATTCTGAAGATTAAGTTCAGTTAGACTGATCACATCTAAAGCGAGTCTGGCTGAATCTAAAAGGGCACAATATTAAACATTCACAATGTCTGCCTGACTACTCTGACCTTTCCCTTGTTTGCAACCTCCACATCCTTGTAAATATCCATGGGTAATTTGCCTTGTGAAGCTAATGATTTATCTCCTTGATGCATCAAGTCCAGCAGACACATTAGTCGTGGCATGAAAATTAACATCAGAATGACTAATGACTCATAGTCCTCATCACATTATATCCCGGAAATCTTGATCATCGTGTAATCTTCCAACTCAATAAGACAAGGTTGCTTTGTGTTCTTTTTAAATACTGTCTAAATATGTGTACACTAGGGTTGGTGCAACAATATACACCGTGAGACGGTAAAAATTTTGCGATATGTTTAATACTAAGCTAGTTATTATTAATTTCTATTAGTAAGTTCTGGAGAATATACTATATAATGTACTATATAATAAATATTATTATATAATAATATTATTATATACATAGTGATAAAACATTGTATCCATATTAAAGCCCAACTGATTTTTTTTAGGCTGATACTAATATTGATATTTGTGAGTTTAAGACCATGAAACATTTTACAGTTGAAAAATAAACTGGTCACTGTTCTCTGGTGGACAAATTTAGCAATGAAGACACAGTTTCTAAAAAAACATATTTTTGCTATTTCTGTACTGCCTTGTCTTTTTATTTATTGTCTGACATATACAAGATACCAGTATATCTGCAATAAGCTAATATCTGCTGATATATCACTCCGGACAATTTATCGGTCTAGCTGAAATACGTATAGAACACCGCTACTGTATTCCTTCTACTGTGGCTACATCTTCTGATGACTACACATACTACTCCTTTGGGACTGTTGTAGGATTTGTACCTCATGCACAAATATAAATCTGAGTCTAAGGCTTGTATCTGCACAGCACCTTGTAGTAGGAGTGATCACATGTTCATAAGGACTCCATTATGTTGTGATCTCACGCCTTACCAGAAAGAAAAAAAGACCAGAGAGTAGCACGCCTCAGCTGTAACACTTTGTGAATATAACCACTTTTCCTATGAGCTTAGTGGTCTTGCTTAACTGAGCTCAGCAGTGACAAACTGACATATAGCCCACAGTGCTAATGCAGCTCTGTGGTCTGAGAAATGTCCGTGTTTATCCTTTGGGGCTAGTTATTTACAGTATACCGCCATGTTTTTTAGAGTAACATGGCCAGGGGATTGAAAACATTATGGTGTTTTCTACAATCATTGCCAAATGAAATATTAAGTTTACTTGCAGTGTTCTATACGGGAAACACGATAATGCTTTTAGTCAGATTGTGGACATCTTTTAAGTTGCAGTTAAATTTATTTATCAATATGTAATATGACGGAGGCATTTAAAAAAAAGCAAAACATTCATGAAAAATGTGTCAATGCTTTCCAGAAATACTAGTCTGTCTGATCATGTTTTTTAAACCATCACAGTAGACAAAGCATGTGACTTTTGATGATTCACGTACTGTGAAATAATACATTTGCAACCAAAATAAATATCTACATGCAAAGATGCATAATTAAAATCTAAAAAAAAGGAGTCTACAGTATATAAATACAGCACCAGAGCATGCTGATGCAGTGTAATCATACATTGTGCAGTTACTGCAAGATTGTCTTATAAGCACCACAAGAAGAGCATAATAATAGGTACAGGATTTAATGAGATTATGCGAGCAACCATGCAAAGTGTATTTGGACTATAGTGTGTTTAGATTAAGGATTGTCCAGGTTCATCTACACAGGGGTCAGGTCCAGTGACTATAAATCAGAAGATTCAATATAGGGGGGAGGAGGTCACCTTAGAATTGTACAATAAATGAGATGATGTTTGGGAAAGCTAGGAAAATGTTAATGGGTTTTGGTTGTAATTTGTCTTGCCATTGGTGACAGCCCATATTCTTTAAAGGGGTTCAGTGGGATGCCATAAATCTTAGCAGGGTCATGCATTGTACAAAGGTGAAGAGAGTTATGAAGGGGAAAGGGGAACGAGGGAAGGAAGAGAAAGAGTGCAGGGGTAAGGGTGAAAGAAATAAAGAAGGGGTTGGGGTGAGTGGAGCTACTGAGAGACAAGCAGAGGGCGAGAGAGCAGAGTGGTGACATAAAAAGACAAATGCAGCTAGGCTGAGTGATGTAAAGTGGAACCGACCCCTGAGATGACGTGCTGCAGGTGACTCACCATGAATCGTAGGTCGTCGAAGCCATTGAGCAGGAACCTGCTCTCATACTGCGGGAGCCCCACGTGCTCCAGCCACTCTCCCACCGGCTGGTCCAGGGCTTTACCACAGGCCCCATCTGCCGAGAGAGGGAAGCGCTTCAGCAGGGAGAAGCCGTTCAGCCGGTAGCAGCGGCACTCAGAGGACGACACATGGCATTGCCACATCATCCTCGGCCAGCAGAGGCAGAGCCGAGTGCAGCAGCACCAGGCGGGGTGGGGGGGAGACAGGGTCCAGGCCGGGGGTGAGGGGCTCCCAAGGTAAAGGCGGGGGCCCAGCTAACTCAAACACAGGAGGAGGGTAGGAAGTGCTCAGGCCCAGCTCAAGCCCTGCAGGGGACTGACTAGGCTAATATACACCCACTGGTGTTAGTGTGACTGACTGGAGATGTCAGGCGAGGGTGGAGGTAGTGCAGGGAAGGAAGCCCATCTCAAGCTTGGTATTGTAAGTTATGTTGGACTGAGCCACTACGGCATCTTCCAACAAACAGGGTTCACTAAACATTCCTTTAGTGAGCAGATGAGCGAGTGTAGAAACAAGTGCCTAGCTAGTCAAAAACCCCCAAAAAACATAACTAATACACAATACTGAACACTACAGGTTAAGTAACTAAATCATTTTCAGGCTGGGGGAAAATGGAAATATGTATCACTAAATCAGACATTTTCATACAACACACATTATTTACTCTGCTAAAACTATGCCCATCATTTTTTCTAAAATCAAAAAATACTCCATTAGGCTGTCACACAGAAATATTCAGTTCCCCCAAAATAAATTTGTCAGGGTTTTCACCACATACTTGTAAAGCTCTGGCTGAGTCCCATGGCTTCATTGGTCAACCTCTTTGAAAGCTAGGACACGGCTCATACAATGAAGGTAGCAGCATTCTAATGTACTGTTGAGGTACTCGTGTTATTTTTGATCAAGGAATACACATTTGCTTAAATAATTTTCCGTCCTTACTCCAGAGCCACAAGGAGTACGGTCAGGTAGACATATTGTAAATCCTACATCAAAAAAAGAAACGTTGGCTTAGGATTTCCACAGTGTGCTGATTCCAAACTCCTCAATTCATAATCAAATCCAAGTATAGATTCCTTGATGAAGCTCCAAGTAAGCTGTCTGCCAGTGGAAAAAGGTTCGCTGTCCTTGGTGGTGCCAGTGCTCCCTGTGCTGCCCAGCATTCACACTCTTCAGCAAGCTGCTGGCTGTGCGGCTCCGCCAGAGAACGTGCTTCTCATCTCTCAAAGCAGTAAATCCAGGTTCAGATCCAAAAGACAGCAAGTGAGCCTCTTGACTCTGAAGCAAGGATCACTGCAGGACCACAGTGCAGGTTAAGCTAGCTCCTTCCTGAGGCGGGTACCCCCCCCCCACTCCCACGCCAGCCCACCTGGTTCTTCTCCTCGCTGGGTACAGCTAGCAGCCTCTGTGCTCAGGGCAGAGGTTTGCTGCATCCCCTGCCTGTCTGAGACATGCAGGCAGTGCAGATGCAGTCACAGCAGCTGCTCCTGGCTCACACACGCTACCCCTCACTGCTCACAGGGCATAACGTCCTGACGCCGGCTACTTAAACACACGAGACCACAGATCTGCCTCAACCTCAGCCACTGCTGCCACGTCCTTCCCACATCCACGACAGGCAACAGACTCAGTGATCATCCCCTTCTCATCCAAGTAAATCCCTCAAGCTCTTCTTTTTAACTCCCTCCCCTTCTTGCTTTCTTTCTCTTGCTCTCGATCTCATAGCCCCAATGCCATACTGTGTGATCGCACTGCGGGGCTGCCGTATGCTGCCTGATGAAGTGGGGTGCTGCTCCACGTAACCACCTCTCTCTCCCTCACTCTCCCACTATATCAATTCCCCTCCCTCTGCCATTCTCTCTCTCTCTCTCCCTTGATGGCTTGCACTCTCCCTCGCTCTGTCTCGCTCCCTGCCTCTCGTTCTCAAACACACAGACAGATGCAAACACCAAGACACTTTCCCTCTCTTCATCGTCTGTCTCTCTACCCCTTTACCCTTCTATCTAGCCTCTCTTTCTTTCTCATACTAATGCACACATTCTTGCTCTTGTCTCTCTCTCGCTCTCTCTCTCCCCTTACCCCACCTCACCCCCCTCTTTCTTCCTCCACTGCACTGATTAGAATTGCACAGAGGCACTCTGATCTTGCCAGTGTAGAAAGGACACCACCATCAGAGGCAAGGAACAAGCACTGAGAGCCCCAAATCACAGTCATTTTCGGTAAAGAATGACCAGACTGTAAAGGGATGACAGAGCCAATCCTCTTCTGCAGGAGCAACGCCGATTCTTTAGGCTAACATGGGATATTGAAACAAAGAGCCTCCTCGGGCTCCTGCACATAAGCAGATGGCTTTAATTCATTTACATCTTACTTTGATGACAGGACAAGGGGGCAGTATTGATTCAAGACAACAGAAGTCTCTAATGCACTCATGCGAGAGAGGAAGAAGTCCTGTCTCTTCTCCATCTCATCCAGTCATACAGCATGACAGAAAAGAGGCAAATTCCATTATGTACTTCCAGATGCTCATGTCACATCACATTTTTTAGAGCACAACAGGAAAAAGCCTGAATAAAGAAATAAATTTTTTGATCAATTCTGGGTAAAAAAGACTCACACAGAGTGCCGTTTGACAAAAATTGCCATAGTCTACACAGGGAGTGGTAGACTTCAGCACCCACCTATGCAGGGCTGCTCACTGCATCCATCACTGGCGTTATCTGGGTACAGCTGCAGGCAGAACGTAATTATGCAGGCTTTCAAGCTGCTTGCAATCACCTCACACATTCGTGAAGAGTAGTCAGCCAGTCAGTAAGGCAGTCAGGGCAAGGAGAAGCAGTACACACCGAGGGAGGCAAAGTGGGGGCTATTGATTTAACCTCCTCTGTAATTGGCCGCCTGTAACCCAGTTGCTCTGGTGTTAACAATCAGGTAAAAGGCCAAGTCAGGTGTCCGTGAACGGTCAGTCATCCTCAAGGACCAATACTCATCATTTGTTATCAGGAAGAGAAGATGCTGTCAGATTAGTCCTGAAAAATGATGGAAGGAGGGAGTAAAGAAAATGGGCGAGGGAGAGATGAGCAAAAGACAGATAAGAGACAGAATAAGACTAACAAAAGAGGAGGTGATGAAACATATGGGCGAGATAAGATGGTAATAGGAAGTAAGAAGGATTGAAGTGGACTAATTATGATTCACTACGAGAGCCCACAATTCTTCCTCCTTCTTAACTCGTTCCTCATGAGCCCCATGCCAAAGTCAGCTCTTACACCTCAATATCCAGACAAAGACTGTTAAAAATACCAGCCACCACATCCAATTACTTCCATTCATTGGGGACAGCAACACCTCCCACAGTAGTAGGACCTAATTACTGACTGACAGAGTATCCAATGCTCCTCCGTGGGGGGGAAGTGGGTCACTTTCTTATCCCCTGTTAAACAGGCCAAGCTGTCAAATCTATCCAAGTGGGTTTCGGTACTGTTTGAGCACTGCTAGGTGTAGACTTGACGCCGTTCGAGCACCCAGAAAGACCTATTTACAGCAGAAGAGGTAGAGGCTGTGCCTAGATAAAGCTGTGCCTCTTTATCAGAGCAGGGGAAAAGCACTAGCTCCTTGTCAACACACCCAAGCACTGGAGAAAATGAGCCGCAAAGCTGAATTAATTCAGGGAAACTGAAGGCGGACTCTTTCCTTTGAACGTCAGAGTGTGCCTGTACACAAACGTAGCTGATGCCTCCTGTGTGCTGTTAGCTGAACTCTCTCTCTCCACTCCCTCTCTCTTTTTAAGCTCATTTACTCAGTGCTCTCTTAGCACACAATCGAGGTACTCGTGATGGGCACACACCACAAATAACATCATCCTTTCGCATGCAGAATGGCAAAAAAATTGCCGATGCTAAACGCAAAAATCTGATGTTCAGAGATCTGCTTCCTGAAGAGAAATTGGCCATTCTTGGCTCCTGATGTGAGAGGGACAGCATACAAGGAAAAGGTGGATCGGATGAAAATACACAAAAACAGAGATAGAGCATAAGGTTCTGTCACAATAAAAAGATAAAGGTGGAATGAAGAGTGACAATTTAGTTTTCTATCTTTGTGCAACACTCCTATCTCTTCTCTTTTCCCCTCCTCTCCTCTTCTCTCTCTCGCTCTCTCTCTGCTGGTGATGACGCTGAAGGGTACCTGTTTGTTCCCTTTCATTACATTGTGGAAAAATATGACCTCTTTACTCAGCGACACATACAAATACAGCAACAAAACCATTCTCGCAACCTCCGGAACTACTTGCACAATCTCCGATTAAAATTGGAGCAGCAACTGCATGACTCAGCTGAATCTGGGACACTTTCAGCATGCCGTTCTTCAAACAAGGCCTAAAAATAGCACACACCTATATGTGTAGAAGACGAAAAAAACAAACAACATATTTCCTCTTATGTAATGTGGAATAACCTCAGGTCTTAATTGTTAGGTTAGCAATTAATCTTAGAATGCTTGGCTGTGTGGGAAGTCAAGTTGCAATTAAAATCATAAATTAACACTGCAATGGAAATCAGCTTTGCTTTAGGATTGCTTTGCTAAAATGTATCTTCTTTTGTCCTAATATTAACAAATACAAATAATTTTATAATTTTGTGAGGGTTAAAAGCAAGAGGAATTTATGAACAGTAATATACTCTCTAAATTAGGTAATATTAAGATGAAGATGGTGAAAGTGGTTATGGTAAGGTTTTTTTATAATTGCTCTTTTATTTCATTATTGTTTTTTAATTAACTTGATTTTAAATGTATTTCAATATATGTTTTAATTATCTGTAAGGTACCTTTCATTTTGTTTCTGAAAGGTGCTATATAATTACAGTTTACTTCTATACTAATTTTATATTATTAAATTGGAGCCTTTTCACTTACTTTCACAATATACTGTGGGTTTTTGTTATCTCATGTCTAAAAGAAAATTAAGAGCCCTAATGTACAGTTCCCCTTTATGACTAAAATTAAATATATCATATATAAGTAAAGAAGAGATTTGATTAAATGAGTAAATGTCCTTAAGATTTTTTATACTCAGCATTTAGTTTAATTGGTTGCTTATTTAAAACTATTACTTTCCATTTTAACTGCATAGACATACACTTTACGCCTTTATAATGGGCTGACAGCAAAAAGTGATGTAAGATGCAACATAATTACTGACACGTGTAGAGTTAAATGGTGGTGCAGTAGTTAAAGTTTAAATTCTCCTAATTTGAATGTCATTTCTTTTCTACTAATTCTGCATCCTTTCTTTATATCCTTTTATCCCAACCACAAATTTTACTGTTTCTGTTCTTTCAGCTTGGATGGTGTTACACCTTCCTGTAGCAAGCAGCTTGTTAATTCACGAAACATACTGCGCATAACTAATGAAAATGTTGTCTTAATAAATCTGATCTGAGATTTCTAAAAGGCAGTCCTGTGCAAACCCAGAGAAGCTGTTATGCAATAGTATATGATGAAACCACCTTATGGCAGAGTATCTAATGGATGTAGGTTTACACTGTTGTCAACTCAGGGGTGTTATCTAAAGAAACTGAAGTGGTGCCAGCTGGCTTCTCCCTCTGCACTGCCTGTAGGACACTTGATGAAGTGTACTATCAATTCAAGCCCTATTAAGATATACAGTAACTCCAGAAAAAAATAACATGACAGTGAAGGAAATTCAGAATTAGATTTTCTATGATGTCCAAACTTTGTGTCTAACAAATAACAACAATGGTGTGCCAAAAAAAATGCAGCTTCTATCTCTGTGACTTAAAACTAAACTTCCATCCATCTTTTCTGAGTGTGTTTGAATATTAAACAGCAGCTCTTAGAAAAGTTGCTTAAAAATGTAATCAGTTGCAGTGTGTTTGGTTGCAGGCAACATTACATATAATTCTCATCTGGGCTGTACAATTAATTGAAATTGAATTATGGCCTACTGCAATCTTCAAATTCCAGAGGAGCAATATTTGTTAAAGGCAAAATGTGTGTCAAAATACCATTTTAAATGAAATATTGTCGTGCTGCAGAGATGTCCAGGCCTACACATCATATTCTACGGACATAAGAAAACATATTTTTTCAGTACAGATCCATGCCAAAATCACACCATAATCATTTAAATATGTGTTTCAATGAAAATGAGAATCATTATGTGAAAATTATGATTCAATATTGCAAATCATATCGCAATTCCAAAATCAGTCAAAATAATCGCAAATAGATATTTTTTCCAAATCATTCAGCCCTATTCCCATCCAATAAACTCTATGGGCTATTATCAATGCAGCACCAAGGGCAATTAAGAGCTTTATAAATGGTTAATGACGAAGACTCACTTAATCCCCTAGACCCAGATGTCATTTTGCATTACCCAACCAATAAATTACACACCACATAGTCATATCTCCAGGGGGGGGAAAAAACACTCCATTCTGAATAAACGAGAAATTCTATCATCATGGAAACATAATAGAATAGGTGGTGAAGCATTACCTGAGCTTGGTGTGGGCTGTTTATTTTTGGACGTTTCAATGCCTGCCCCAATTAAGTTCATGATCTTCTCAATCTGTTAAAGAGAACAAGAGAAAATAATCAACTTTGATTTGATTGAAACAACTCCTAATGAATAAAAGCAGCTGGGATGTTGACATTCTTTCAGTCTGTATCAACATTTTCCATTAATTCAAAACATGCATTAAACTCCTGTCTAAAGCTCCTCCATCCTACCATAGCCAAACCAATTATAAAACAGGAACACTGAATAAGTGGCACTGGGTAAGGAGTTATGACAGTGAGCTGCTGCTGCTGCTGCTGCTGCTGCTGCTGCTGAGTATTGGGAAGGAGGCCTGATGCTTTACAATGATGGATTACAAGCAACAGTCCAACGTGTACAGCAATTCAATGACTAACCCACCACTCAGCAAAAACACAGCAGGGTGATAAGGTGAATTTCAATCTAGAATCTACTGAAACTCCAAATTATCATAGGCAGTGCACAGAACTGACCCTCCAGCAGCAGCATAAGGTAGTAACAACGGGCCCCAGTGCAGGCTGTTTTGATGGGCCCTTGGGCTACACAGTTAGGAAGCACGTGCACACATTCGCTGTGTTTGTGACTAGAAGGGAACCCTGGACTGGCATATTTGTGTCCCTTGTTTCCTTTGCACCGTTTAACAACTGATAAGATAAGATGAAGTAAATACCTCAAGCTCCTTAAATAGATTCCTTTCCATATTAACATATTAAATTCTCTTCAGTTCTCTTTTTGTGCATCTCTCTCCAACACACACGCTGCTGCTGCAGCTGTGTTGCGTGCGCCTGGACGCATCAGTCTAAAGCAAAGAACCATCATGAGATGGATTTTAGAGTCACCTCGACTAGAATCTGTCACCTAGACTATTATAATTGCAAAATACAGAAGTCAAAGAGAAAGTTATTAGGAGCATGGCCAGTGCTGTCATTGTCAAAATCCTGAAACTTCACTACAAACAGCTGAGTGCAGGGGGTGTCCACTGTGCTGAAATGACGCAGACTTTTTCGGGCAATTTCAGTACAATAACCTCCCGAATCACGACAACCACATTCCTCTTCGACAGAGAGCCAAGACATTATGGTGAATAAGAAAGAAAAGTGGCCTACTCATAACTCAATGCCATGTTCTGAAAACAAACCAGCAAAGGCGCACAGAGATTAATTCCAACACGCACATCCACACTATTAACCAGGTAGGCCTACTCAGCGGCGAGCTGACCCCGAAATGATAACAGCCTTTAAAACAGCGGCACGGTCGCCACACCAAATCCACTGAAAAACCACTTGAAAAGTTAGTTACCTATTTGAAAGGCACCCGACGCGCCTGCATTGAGCGACATCTTTGATAATGTCCTCAGTAATCCAAAACAATCTTATTTGGGAGCTTTGTGATCCTCTCCTCCAGTTCTTTTCTCTCCTGTCTCTTCTTGAAATAACTTTTCAATGACTGCTAGCTTGCACGTGTGCTCAGCTAGTCTACTTGGCAGATTTTGCATTTCACCCTGTTTCTGGAGTCTTGTCACATGTTCAAATACAAACTTAAGATTGGGCAGCCATATACATTTTACCCAGCAATCATCACTGCACATGTGGGCTATGTGACACGAATAGCAAAGAAAATAAGACTAAATTCATTCTGTGGAATCTGTGGAATACATTTTTTATATTTCACTGTATACCTTATAGCCTACTGCTTGCAGTCAGTAGTTTTACCCACAAAAGTCTGTAGTGTTAGACACCACGGCAAAGGGGGAAATGCACATATAAGTGTATATGTACTACTTGATTTTAAGCAGTAACTTTGTTAGATGTCAATTGGGTGTGCACGTGCTGACTAGTAAACTTTGAATTATGATTACCATGTACCCCTCATGGGTCCCAGTGAGGCTGTATTGTCTATACCTACACCCCTTCCCTCCAGAGATTCAGGTCTGTTGCAGTGACTGTTTTTCAGTGAGTATTTGATTTCCCTCTCAGACCTGTATTATTTAAACTTCAAAGAATAAAGGCAACAGCTTACTGCAAGGTTAAGAGAGCACAATGTTGCATGCAGGAGATTACAGAGCAACTCAGAGAAGAGTTGGTTAGGGGCTTAGAGACAAAAATGTTTATTTAAGTAGTCTCTGACTTTCCAGGAGAGCCAAAGCAAACAACATTTCCAGGTTGCTTGCTTTTGTTTATTTTGCTGGATAACTGAACAATAACTCAAGTTAAAACAAGGCTTTTGGTGCTAGATGCAGTATGTCATTAGCACAGTGGTAAACAGCTAGTCTGGCTCTGTCTTAAGGGTGCAAATCAATTTACCTGCACCTCTAAAGCTCACTAATTAACACTTTATATATGTGTCTAATACAAATTGTGGTTTTAAGAGGGGTTAGGCTGGTTGCCTTTCATGGTGGTGACAGAAGTTCATAGTGTCCAGCCAAGAAATAGTCCTCCAAAAAAGATGTAAAATGACAAATTGTTATGTTTACACTTATTTTCAGACTGTGCTAGGCATATTTCTCAATTTCCAGTCTTTATGCTATCATGCTAAGCTTGCCAGCTGCTTCATAGTGAATGCACACATTTAAGAGTGGTAGCAATCTCCTCATCTAATTCTCAACAATGTTTTGTTCATTGTTTTTTTTCATTGTTTCTGAAAATGTCAGACTATTCCTTTAAATAAAACAGCATAAAAACTGAATAGGATAAGGCCATTTAAAGCAGGTGAGGTGTTATCCTAAACTGTCCAGTCTCTGTCCCCTCTTATTAAACATTCAAAAACAAGCATTGTGTTTCACTGATTTCATTCAGCTCGATTGGAACAGACATTTCATTTTGAAGAACCCAATGTCATATTTCTTCCACGTAAATATACACAGTGGTATATTATGACTCATGATATTCCAGCAAAAGCAAACAGTCTGGGTCTTATCATATGTACTGCATATTTGAATAGTAATCACTTATCACTAGATAAGTGTAAGCAATTTGTCTACAGAAAACCACACTGCTTGCTGACACTACATGCTTCAAGGACAACAGGACCTTATTTATGCACAGAACAAATGTACCATTCACCCCATTATAAAGAGAATAGACTAAATAAATAAAGCATTTCATATTAGTTGGCTATTTCTAAGTGAATGTCTCCAAGCACATGTTTTGACAATTTGAAACAAGACAATTAGCTGGCTGTGGTCACCTAAAATTGTATGTGTAAACTGGCAAATCAGGCTGGGAGCTAAATTTAGAATCTATTCACAATCAGCAATGAAGATTTTTGCAAGCCTGAAAAGCTGATTCTGCTTTCACTAGTGACACTAGAGACACGGCCAGGCTTATTTGATGTAATATTTAGTGTTTGAGAAAGCCCTATGCACTTCGCTAGTGGCATCAACACTGTGGAAAAGCCTTGATTCATTTGGAAGTCAGGCACGTGGGACGCATGGCATATGCCTCCAGCAATACAGACCTCACATTACTCTTTGAATTAACCCAGTTACATTCTATATCATACACACATGTACCAGGACTTCATCACATCTAAGCTTAAGTGCACCTTTATTATAACCTGTTATCAAAATGCTGCTTCTAAGGAAGTGCTGAAATATTTCGTAACATCATGCACACACTGCCTCATCCACTGTATAAATAGTTAGATGTTTGGCACTGGGTTAGCGTAGAACCCAGACGCTTCTGCTGTGAGGTGACAAGCACTAACCACTGCACGACAGCCCTATTAGTATTTTTTACTACTAAATCCACTTCAGCCTTAATCAGCAGGTACATATGGCAGTTAGGTGAGAATCAGGTTGTAAAGGTACTTTAAAGTGTAACAAATACTAAAGAAACGGTTTGATACTTTTCTTTATTGTGTTGAGGATGAGATGAAAAGATTGATACCTCTCTCATATTGGTCTGGTAAATATAAATCTACGGCCAGAAGACGGTTAGCTTAGCTTAGCATAAATCAAACTTCCAGCACCTGTAAAGTACACCAATTAGCACATTTATATCAATGCGTATAGGCTAAGCAACAGAAATACCTCTCTGTGTAATGAGCCACACAAACTACACTGCTCAAAAAAATAAAGGGAACACTTAAAAAACACAATGTAACTCCAAGTCAATCACAGTCCTGTGAAATCAAACTGTCCACTTAGGAAGCAACACTGATTGACAATCACTTTCACATGCTGTTGTGCAAATGGAATAGACAACAGGTGGAAATTATAGGCAGTTAGCAAGACACCCCCAATAAAGGAGTGGTTCTGCAGGTGGTGACCACAGACCACTTCTCAGTTCCTATGCTTCCTGGCTGATGTTTTGGTCACTTTTGAATGTCTACAACCTACACAAGTGGCTCAGGTAGTGCAGCGCATCCAGGATGGCACATCAATGTGATCTGTGGCAAGAAGGTTTGCTGTGTCTGTCAGTGTAATGTCCAGAGCATGGAGGCACTACCAGGAGACAGTCCAGTACGTCAGGAGATGTGGAGGAGGCGGTAGGAGGGCAACGACCCAGCAGCAGGACCGCTACCTCCGCCTTTGTGCAAGGAGGAGCAGGAGGAGCACTGCCAGAGCCCTGCAAAATGACCTCCAGCAAGCCACAAATGTGCATGTGTCTACTCAAACGGTCAGAAACAGACTCCATAAGGGTGGTATGAGAGCCCGACGTCCACAGGTGGGGATTGTGCTTACAGCCTAACAGGACGTTTGGCATTTGCCAGAGAACACGATTGGCAAATTCGCCACTGGCACCCAGTGCTCTTCACAGATGAAAGCAGGTTCACACTGAGCACATGTGACAGACGTGACAGAGTCTGGAGACGCCGTGGAGAACGTTCTGCTGCCTGCAACATCCTCCAGCATGACCAGTTTGGCGGTGGGTCAGTAATGGTGTGGGGTGGCGATCCCCAGACCTGAATCCAATTGAGCACATCTGGGACATCATGTCTCGCTCCATCCACCAACGCCACGTTGCACCACAGACTGTCCAGGAGTTGGCGGATGCTTTAGTCCAGGTCTGGGAGGAGATCCCTCAGGAGAC